ATCATTTCTCCAGATACTGGCGCAAATAAACATTGTAACACTTTTTATCATTTCTTTAGATACTGGCGCAAATAACCATTGTAACACTTTTTATCATTTCTTTAGATACTGGCGCAAATAACCATTGTAACACTTTTTATCATTTCTTCAGATACTGGCGCAAATAACCATTGTAACACTTTTTATCATTTCTTTAGATACTGGCGCAAATAACCATTGTAACACTTTTTATCATTTCTTTAGATACTGGCGCAAATAACCATTGTAACACTTTTTATCATTTCTTTAGATACTGGCGCAAATAACCATTGTAACACTTTTCTTTAGATATTGGCGCAAATTACCATTGTAACACTTTTTATCATTTCTTTAGATACTGGCGCAAATAACCATTGTAACACTTTTTATCATTTCTTTAGATACTGGCGCAAATAACGATTGTAACACTTTTCTTTAGATACTGGCGCAAATTACCATTGTAACACTTTTTATCGTTTCTTTAGATATTGGCGCAAATTACCATTGTAACACTTTTTATCATTTCTTTAGATACTGGCGCAAATAACCATTGTAACACTTTTTATCATTTCTTTAGATACTGGCGCAAATAACCATTGTAACACTTTTTATCATTTCTTTAGATACTGGCGCAAATTACCATTGTAACACTTTTTATTATTTCTTTAGATACTAGCGCAAATAACCATTGTAGCACTCTTTATCATTCTTTACTTTATATATTGGCGCAAATTACCATTGCAACAGTCATTATTATTTCTTACTTTAGATATTGGCGCAAATTAGCATTGATAACTGATAACAGTCGTTGTCATTTCTTACTTTAGATAAGGGCGCAAATTAGCATTGCAACAGTTTTCTATGTTTCGATCTAATCTTTTCATTTTAATAATTTAGTATGAAATCCGTAAGAAAATTTCAACTCTTTATCATAATGTTATTTCTATCATAAAATTTTCTTTTAATTTTCTGAATTAACTTAAAAATTTGGATAAATAATTTTGTCAAAACTTTTTTTTCCAATTATAACTAAAAAAAATTTAAAAATTTTGTTTTTTACTTTTTTATTTTTTTTTTACATTTATTCAAAATTAAAGTGTTAGAATTTTCTTTTTTTTTTTGGCAAATCTATGATTTAATTGATAAAAATATTACTTTTTAAGCATACAATAATAAATAATTTGTATTAATAAGGAAAATAAATGATAATTATTTAACAAATATTCGAAGAAACAAATTAATCAATCAATCATTGATAATTTTATCAGCTATTGATAACAATTTACTAGAAATAATTGAATGCTATTTTGATGCAATCATTAATTAACGATCATTATGATCACAAGTAATCAGAAAAAATGATTGCATTAACTTTGAGAGAGCAATAAGTAAAGTAGAATATTGTGATCTAAAAATTGATTATACTTTATTATCTTACTTTTCTTGATTATTCCATCTTACGAATATAAGTTATTATTAAATCAACAATTAAACTTTTATTTGCTTCATTTTATTTCTTCCATTTCTTTTTTTTTTATTGTTATAATTATGTGATAAATTCAAAAAAGTTAACAATTTATATAAGTTATAATAAAATTATATAATTTTATATATTAATTAATTATTTGTAAGTAATTTATAAAACGAAATTAATGCGAATTTTTTAAATTATGTAAGATTTTTCATTCTAAAAAATTCTTTTTTTTTTTTCTTTTATTTAGTTTCATAACTAAATGGAAATTTTATGATTTCTTATATCAATTATAATTTATTATAAATCATCGATTATATGGATTGCATTCCGGAATACTATAATTCGGTTGATATATAAACTGCATTCCGGATTATTATAACTTGTTAGCTATGTAGACGCATTCCGGAATATTATAATTTGCCAGCTATATAGATTGCACTTCGAAATATTATAATTTGGTAGCTATATAGACTGCATTCCGAAATATTATAATTTGTTAGCTATGTAGATGCATTCCGAAATATTATAATTTGGTAGCTATATAGATTGCATTCCGGAATATTATAATTTGTTAGCTATGTAGACATATTCTGGAACATTATAATTTGTTAGCTGTATAGACTGCATTTCGGAATAGTACATTTAATAGTAATATGTTTCTATACAAATTGCATTCCGGAATACCATTAATTTAACAGCAATGTGTTCATCCATGAATTTATTTCCTATTTCGGTTATATTCGGAAATATTGTATAATTGAATGCTAAAGGTCAAAGACTCTTCTTTTGCAATTTAAATTATTTTTTTTAAAATCATTATTCATTTTATTAATGACTTTATAACTGAGAATTATTGTAATAAAATACTAAATTACTGTCTTCTTCATTCCCATTTAAATTTTAATTAAAATTTTCACTAAGAAATAAATTATTCTTAATCATTTGATAATTTTATTTTTGTTTTTACTTTTTTTATTTTGGTAAAAAATTAAAAATAAGAAATTACTCAAATTTTAATTTTTATAATTTTCCAATATTATTTCGCATTTTTTGGCTATCAATTAATTATTCATTTCTTATTAAATTATTTCAAAATTTATTCTCTGTAATAAACACAAATTTATTTTACTCCTTTCTTATCAATCATGTTATTATCATTTTACTTCTGATCAAATTTAATAAAAAATCTTTCAAACTTTTTTCAAAAGTCTCTTTTTTTTTTTTTTTTGATAAGAATAATTTTCTTTTGTTATCACTAAAACTAAAATTGTTAATTAGCATAAATGAGAATAACAGATAGCAAAAAAAAAAAATCAATTTTTAAAATTTGATAAATTAAAAAATAATTATTTATAAAAGAAACTAATTAATTAAACAATTTTCGTTTAGTTGTTAAAATTAGATCAGGAAAAGAAATACAATTGATAATTGCATAAACCGGAAAAATTGATCACTGATATTCTGGAAAAAGTTTTCACTTCTTACTGCATTATTATTCTCATAAACAAGTTCAAAAAAAAAAAAGAATTGCACTCTGAATAAATAAGTTAGCAACTTGAAATATACTTTCTGATCAGGAAAAAAACGTATGAGTAAAATTTCCGGTTTTAGCAAAATCAAAGATTAATATTCTGGGGAGATACTTTTGAAACCTAAAATTCCTATCGATAACTCTTCATGCTTTCTGCTAAAAAATTTCTGTTAGATTCGCAAAATATAACAAATTATTATCACTATCTAAAATTTTAGGCTTATTCAGAAAAACGTAATAGTTTTTAAATAACATATATAATCCGGTAGAATAGAAAATGTTAAATTTCCGGTAGAAATTATATTAATTTATTTTTCTTAGTTTCTTTGAATTTTATTTTCAAAAAAAAAAAAAAAATAAATTAAATAGTATAAGTATTTTATAAAAAAAATCAATAAAATATAATTTTTCCTTCATTTCATTTAGCATTTAAAATTAACAAATTTTCATTGTTATTTTCAAAATGTTTATTCTAAATGTCAGTTGTTGTTTTGTTCAAAATTATTATCGATTATATTGGATGAATCATTCCTCAAATTTAATTCCAAATGTTAAAAAAAAAAAAAAATTCTTTTAAGCTTTTAAGAGAAAAAACAAAAAAAATTTCCCCGATTTTAGCATTTCTTTATTTATGATAAAAGCTTTTATTTCTTTTCTGTGTTTTTGTCTTTCCTTTCAAATATTTTTAAATTTTGATATTTTATTTTTTTGATAAAAATTATCATTTTAATTGTTAATGTTAGAATTAAGATAAAACTTAAAACTTATTTAAATAAATCAATGCAAAGTTTTTTTTTTTTTTTAGTTTCATTTTATTTTAATTAAAAAAGCTGAGCTGTCTTCTATTAAATTTTTTGTATTAAAATTTAAAAAATTGATAATCTTAAAAGTATATATGAATTAGAAAGAAAAATTTCTTCATTTCAAAGTATTACTTAAAAAAGACTAATTAATCTAATTATTGATAAAGTATCATTGTGAGGTGAAATGGATATTTACATTTGTGTAAATAATCAAATTTCATTTTTTATTTATTTTTATTTTTTGATATAACTAAGTTTTATTTATTTGCATAAACTATTTGTTAATGTTTATTTCATTTCATTAAATATCACAAATAATCAAATATCATTTATTTTATTTCGAATAGATTTTAATTATAATTTTTCATATGCTATTAGCAATTTCAGCTAATGCACTTTTATCGATATTTCTTCTTTCTCTTTTAATTTCATTTTCTAGCAAAAACCCATATTTCATACATTTATCAAATATCACCCAAAGTAATTCTGATAAATTCATGTTAATGATAAGTGAGAATAGAAAAGAAGTAATTTTGGTGTAAAATTAAAATGAAATTGCATGGATCATCCCAAAATTAAATTTTATTTCGGTTTATTTTAAAATTGCTTTAAAAATTAGTCTTATCTTTTTTTTAAAAAAAAAAAGCTTAAAGTTAAGTATTATTTAACATTTATAAGACAATACTTTTTTTCTAAGCTTTTTTTTTAGGAATATTTTTAAGTTTTATTTAAAATATTCCTATTTGGAGAAATTTTATCATAAAATTTATTAAAAACGTTAAAAAAAAAAATTAAGAACTCAATTTTCTACTGTCAATCATTTATTAATTATTATTTCAGATGTGAAATATATCATGTCAAATCGAATTATATATTTTTTCTTAATTATTGTATATTTGGGAGAATGCGAAATTGACACCAATGTATGTCAAATTTTTTTTTTTTTTTACCTTTGCTAATTTTATTAATTTATCAAATAATAAAACATTTTTATTTCCAAAGCTAATTTTCATTGTTTAAAATAATTTATTTTCTCATCAATGAATTCAAAAATTTTAGCTTTTAATTAATCAAATTTGTTTATCAAATTGAAAAAAGAAATTATTAGATATAACTTTTTTTTTTTTTTGTTTGTTTATAGGAAATTATCAGAGAATTAGAAAACGATAATACGATGGAAAATTATACAACAATAATGCAAAGGATTGGTTATTTCAATGAAACGATGCAAATTAAAGTTCATACTAATGAAGAAATTTTAAATGAATTAACTGTTTGTTTTTCTTTTTTTTTTTGTTTGTTTATTTTTGTTTATTTGTTTATTTGTTCAAATAAGTTAACAATGAAATGACAAAATTTGCAGCATTTTGCATTGATTTGATATGACATTATTAATTGTTAGTAATATATATGTCGCATATTTTGTTTTATTTTATTTATTTTTTTAAATTTTATTTTTTTTAATTTACAAAAAAAAAAAAAATATTTGTAGAGTTTACATGAGAAATACCCGCATATAACATATTTATATGAAATTGGTAAATCATTGCAAGGTAGACCATTAATTGTATTAGCAATTGGAAAAAATCCAATGAAACATTTGCCCGGAATACCAGAATTTAAATATGTTGCTAATATTCATGGTAATGAGGTAAAATATTTGCTTTTTTTTAAAAAATTTTTAAAAAATTTGATGAAATTAAAAATTTATGAAAGATTATTTAGTTACTTAAATGTGGAATTAATTGCATTTTATGAAAATATTTTTTAAATTTTATGATTTCAAAAATTGAATCAAAGTTTATAATAAAAATATTTTGGAAGATAAATGTGAAAAAAAATGAAAATTCTTTTTTCAGATATCAGGTAGAGAATTATTACTCTGTTTGGCAAATATTTTAGTCATAAATTATGGAAAAAATGAAGTGCTAACAAGACTTGTGAATAGGACACGAATTCATCTTTTACCGACAATGAATCCGGATGGATTTTCCGTAGCTATTCCTGGAAAATATGGTTGGCTTCAGGTTCCTTATTTACAGCATATAATAAACCATAACATGAAAAATTAAAAAAATAAGTTAACAAATTAATTTTATCTATTAAAATTAAATTATTTTTTTCATCACATTAAATTTGAGCCAATAATTCTCTAAAAAGTTTTGAAAAAAACAAGAGGAATTATCCGAAGATCAATATAATTTGTTTAAACATAGAATGTTGCCTGATTTGGTTCTTAGAAATTTATAACTATTATAAATTATTATTATTAATTCTTTTTTTGTAATATTTCTTTACTTTCTAGAATTTCTATCAATTGAGCAACATTTAATTAAATAAATTAATTTCAATTTAAGGGTCGAACAAATGCTGCTAATGTGGACTTAAATCGTGATTTTCCACAACGGCTAAATCCAGCAATGATCCGTAATGTTCAACCGGAAACTAGTGCTGTTATGCGATGGACAAGGTACGAAATGAAATTACAATTTTATTGAATTTGAAAAAAATCTTTTTTTTTGTTTTTATAAGACATTGTCAAATCTTTGATCTATCAGTAATCAGGATCAAATTTTAGTGATAACATTTCAAATTTTAGATCAATACCATTCGTCCTGTCAGCAAATTTGCATGATGGTTCATTGGTGGTTAATTTTCCCTATGATGATGGTAAAATTGAGGGTATCGAAGCAAAAACCGGTGATCATAAACTCTTCGTGGTACTTTCATACTTATATGCTAGAGCACATCACTATATGTGGAAGAAGGTATATGCAAATTTTATTAAATATAAGTAAATGAACGAATGAAAGGAGAAATTTTATTTTAGCTTTTATAACTTAATGATTGGAAATGTTAACTCAATCAGAAAATAATTTGGTAAATAATTTTGCATTGAAAAGTTAACTCATATTTATCGCTTAAATAATCTCTCAAAAATTTTCCCATTTTATTGGGTAATTTATTTTTGTTTGATAATTATAAATGTAAAAATTTAGGGACCAAGATGTATAAATCAACATGATGATGATAGCCTCGATGAAGGAATTACAAATGGTAATAAATGGTATCGTGTTTCAGGTCAATTTTTTTCATTTTTTTTAGGTCAATCTTTTTTCAGGTTAATTTTTTTCATTTTTTTTCCGTTTTTTTTTTTTTTTTGAGATCTCTAAGTAGTAGTGTTTTTGATGTATTATTGATTAATTCTAAACGATTACTGATTTAAATTATGTTTGTAAGTTATGAATTCTAGCAAATGCATATTGATAAGAGCAATGATAAGAATGGATTCTAGGTGGAATGCAAGATTGGAATTATGTATTTGCGAATTGTTTCGAATTAACAATTGAAATGAATTGTGTGAAGTATTCAAGTGATGAACAATTGAAGCAAATATGGAATGAACATAAATTTGCACTAATTTCTTTTATTGAAAAGGTAAACACTTTAACAATTTGGTTTTAACGCATACACACATTTTAACACTTTTATTTTAATATTAAAACACATTAATTATATTAAAACTTTTATATGAAATTAATTTTTTCTTTATTTTTATATAAAAAACATATTAATTTCAACACTTTGACATAGCATACTGATTTTAAAGTTTGAGCTCAATTTCAATCAACAGAAGAAATATAATAAAAATGTATACAGTAGAAATTGTGAAAATACTGTGAAAATACTGTAGTTTCATTGTCGATCGATTTTTTTAAAAATACATTTTACATGGCATTTTTGATTTCAATTTCAATCAATAAAAGAAATATAATAAAATTGTATACGGTAGAAGTTGTGGAAATACTGTAGAAAATACAGTAAACAGAAAAAGTTTCATTATCGATCGATTTTTCTAAATACATTATCAATTTTAATTTTTCTTCCAATTGGCTTTGACATGGCATACTGATTTTAAATTTTGAGCTCAATTTCAATCAACAGAAAAAATATAATAAAAATGTATATGGTAGAAAATTGTGAAAATACTGTAGAAAATACGGTAAGCAGTAAAAAGTTTCATTATCGATCGATTTTTTTAAATATATTATCAATTTTAAGTTTTCTTCCAATTGGCTTTGACATGGCATACTGATTTTAAATTTTGAGCTCAATTTCAATCAACAGAAAAAATATAATAAAAATGTATATGGTAGAAAATTATGAAAATACTGTAGAAATTACGGTAAGCAGTAGAAAGTTTCATTATCGATCGATTTTTTAAAATAAATTTCAATTTTAAGTTTTCTTTTAATTATAATTATAATATGAATGATATTGAAAACCTTTTTTTAATGTACATTTTCAATGACTAATAATTAACAGAGAAAAATGCATATTACAGATTTAAATCTTTTGTTCTGTATTCTAATTAATTGAAAACTGAAATAATCATTTTTACCACTGCATATATTAATTCTACGATTAAATTTAGATTCATAATACTATTTCGGGTTTTGTATTGGATGAAATAAATGGTATCGGAATACCAGGTGTTCAAATTTCGATTGACAATATCGGTAAAACTGTATTAAGTAGTACTGATGGTGATTTTTGGCGTTTAGTAATACCTGGTACCTATAATGTTACCTTTGAACATTTCCGGTATGAACCAGTTATACGGTTTGTTACTGTAAGCAAGAAAAAACCATATGAATTTCTTAATGTAACAATGTCTCGTAGAAAATTTATTGGAAATTTCACCGAAGTTTACATAGTTAATTCACAAATTGCTAATGCTTCTGGTACCTTTGTGATTTTTATGATTTTGATAATTTTTCATTTCTTTCCAATTTTGATCTCATGAATTTGTGTAAGTTTTTTCAGCTATTAAATGTAACAATATTATAATCTCAATTTTATTAATTTTATCAAATTCGACTCGGTGCAATAAAATCAATTTGAAATTTAAAATTTGAAAAACTGCCTTGAAATTATCTATTATAAATGACAATTTAATTTTGATATTTTTCTTTGTTTTAAACTTGTTATTGCTCACCTTTGCCATTTCAATTGTTTATCACAATGTGCAATTATCATTTGTTATTTATTTCTCAATGTAAATTTGTGGTTATGTTTGAAACAAACATTTTTATTTCATTCATTTATATGATAATATCAATTTTCACATTTTACCAATGGTTTTTCTTTTGCTAGAAATTGATAAACTTTAAAAAAAAATTTTTTTAATTGCAATACTTGGAATGGCAAATTTTTTATTTCAAAATTTAACACTGATAAAAGCAATGGAAGCCTAAGAACAAATTCAAAAGTTGTTTGGATAATAATTACTAATTTAAATGCAATTTCTTCATTGAAATTCTAAAATAAATTGTGAAAGCTTTTACAAATTTAAATTTCAAAATGTCACATCAATGATAATTTAATGTCATAAAATATTAGAAATTCCATTTTATTCAAAAGGATTTATAGCATTTTCTATAAATCAGAATTTCTTTCTCTCTTTGAATTGATAATGAAATAGTCTTCTCAATATAAAATTTATAAGCAATGAGAAATTTAATACTATAATTAGATTTTTGAAAATTTTTCCATCTTGAAAAATGTAACTTAAGCTAAAGGACACTTTTTAGCTCATTCTTCGATCAAATTACCTTTTGATACGTAAAGTAAACAAAATTTTTCACAGTGCAATTTAAACAAGAAATAATGAAAATTTCACTTAGCAACAAATGATGATGCATCATACATTTTGGAAAATTTCGACGAGTGAAATTTGTTTGTTCACTTAAGCTAATATCATAGCAAACTATGACAGAAAGCTTTTTGTTATTATTAAATTAAAATTATATAATCTTTTTTTTTTTTTAAATACAAAAAAAAGTGAAATTTAAATGTTTGAAAAAAAAAAAAAAAAAAGAGTAAACATTTACTGACAACAATTTGACATTTTCAGGTAAAATTTTTCCTTTTCTCTTAATTGACACATTAATAATTTCAGTAATTTTAATTGTGAATTGTAGATTTCATTTCTTTTTCTCTCTCAAAATGAAATTTTAAAATGAAATTGGAAATGTCCTCAACGTCTCTGTCTCTCTCCTATATTTACACACTCTTTCTCTCGTTCCTCCTACTGTCTGCAATCGTTGAGTATTCAATCATTCGAATAACACTTGTTGTCTAACCCATTATCCACATACATCTATACATTTGCCTATTTTATGTCTATTAGTCTGTTGCTCTCCTACTTTGTCATGCTATTTCGTTCGATGTTTATATTACTTTCAATTAAATTTGATGGTTTGATTTTGAAAATATAAAATTTTAGACGTTTTAAGACTTCATTGTATATTTAGTGAACTAAATTGGACAATGAAGAAAAGGAATTTCTCACTTTCATTTTGAAAATTTTATTTTTAATTACTGATAGCATCAATTATACAATTACTTTTATCAATTTTTAAATTATGCATTTTAAAATTTTATAAATAATTACTAATTTGATTTGTAATTTTATTAATTTTATGATTTCCACTTTTACTTTCTTCTTTACTCTTAGCCATGAATAGAATAAGTAATTTATCAATTTAGTACTATGAATATTTATCTGTTTAATGAAAAATGGAAAACGTTTACTTACCGTTTTTTTTTTTTTTTTTTAATTCCAACAATTTGCAGAATTTAAAAATAAAAAGTTTAATTTTTGGTATTTGGTAGTTTTAATTGACTGTGAAATTTCTTCTTTTGGATTCAATTAAATGAATTAAATGACAATTTCGACAAAATTTTCTTCGTTCAATGAAAAATTTAATGGAATTTAAAACATTTCTTAAAATATTTCAACAAATAATAGTCTTTTCTTTTCTATTTTCTGACAATGCTTTTAATCAAAAATTGTTGTTAAATTGCTTTAGAATAATTTAACATTTAAATAGCAATGATGACTTTAACATAGGAAATAATTGGAAATATTCCCCAAAGTTTGGGCAATTAAAATACCCAAGCAATTAATATGTTGAGAAATTTAGCAACGGAACATTTCGTGAATTATGATAATTAAAAAAAAGAAAAAAAGAGGAAAGAAATGTTATTTTACAAAAAAAAAAAAAATTTTGTTTTATTTCAAATTATTAAATAAAAAATAATACTAACAAAATTAATTTTGTCAACATGTATGAAAAGCATTCCTTTCGTTTTCACTCTAATAAATTACTTCAATTTTAATATAAATTATTCATAATTATTATAGCTATACTAATCAGTTTAATTATTCCATTTATTAATTATTAAATTTCACTCAAAATGAAAATATTGCAATAAAATTATCTATGAAGTCTACGAAATGAAATCGAATAAATTATTAAAATTATTAAATACATTATTATTATTATGTTTTATTAAATAATTATTAATATTATTAAATAAAATTATTAAATACATTATTATTATTAATGTTTTATTAAATACATTATTATTATTACTAAACCAAATTACTAAATATATTAGTATTATTATGAAATGTATTATTATTATTAAATGAAATTATTAAATACATTATTATTATTATTATTATTATTATTATTATTATTATTATTGAATACATAATTATTATTATTATGTAGCAAAAATAAAGTTTTTTTCATTGTTTTTTTTAATTTTTTAATTGTTTTACGAGAGAAAAAAAATTGAAAAAAAAAAAAGGAAAAAAATTAGATAAAAATAAAATTGATTAAAATTATTCACCTTGAAATAACTATTACAATAATATAAAATTATTTGCTATCACATAAATTGTTATAAAATGACAATTCAAAAAAAAAAAAAAGAAAAAAGCGGAAATGAATTTGGTATTGAATAGTTGAACAATTAAAACATCAATTTATTTATGAGAGAATTACGAGACGAAAAGAAAAAAAAAAAGGAAATGAAATGATTTTTCTCAATATTCTTTATTCAAAAAAAAAAAAAAAAGAAAAATATATTTTAAAGAAATGAATTAAAAATTATTTTTGTTTATTTTATTTATTTATTTTTTATTGACATCAAATAAATAACTCATTTTATTGACAAGTTGGAAAGATTAATTTAATTTTCGTTTTATTATAATATTTCTATGTATTATCAATAAATATTTCCAATGTTTGCTATAAAATTAAAAATATATGTCATTTTCATTTTTTTTTTTTTTTAATTTCTAAATATATTTACTTTAGTTATTTATTATACTTAACTTTAAATATATTTGCTATTCTTGTAATAAATATAAGTAAATTAAAAACTTTTTTTTTTTTTTTTTTTTGCAAATAAAATTTCAAATGTAATGGGAAAATTTTTTGTTTTCAGTCATAAAAATTCAAATTTTTGTTATGTTATCTTTTTAATATCTTTTTTTTTTTTAAATATATTAAATATATTTTTTAATAAATAATTAAATTTATTTTATAAAAAATGCATTAATATCAAATAAATCAAAGTTAACAAATTTTCACACTGAATTAATGTAAATGTTAGATGATTTTATTTAATAAACTAGAAATAAATTTAATTATGCACTGATTTCAATTTTTATTTTTCTCTTAATTATCATTTAATAACTGAAAATTACATTTGATTATTGATATTATTGTTTATTCATATCAATTATTTCAATTTTTTTTATTTTCTTACAAATTAACAATTATCAAATTTATTTATTTCTCATTCATTTTTTATCATTTTTTTTTTTTTTTTGTATTCTACTGAAATTTACACTTAAATTAAAATGTATTTTTCAAGGTGAAATTAATAATTTCTAATAATTTATTACAGATAATATTAGATTAAAATAAGATGAATTATAAATAATCATTGCATTGTTAATCTCAGAAATAATTGAAATTTAAATTTCATTTTTTCATAATTTATTACCTTTTAAAATTTCATCAAATATTAGATTAAATTATTTCTTTTTCAATCGTTTTTTTTTTTTTTTCTTTCAACTCCCATCTATTATTATCACTTTATTTTAGTTTTAATTAACGCTCAATTTTGATTTCTCAATTTAATCAGCTGTTAATAGATATTATTAAAATGTTTAAATTCCTAATTAAATTTTATTTTGTAAATATTATGTAAATTTTATGATTTGTAAATATTTGTTCAGTTGGACAATTTTCATTGGGGACATTTATCATCGATTGATGAATTTACAGCAGAAAATTGGTTTAACTGATCGGAGTGCAGCAATTTCAATTTAATTCAACTAATTTCATTTTTCTTTTTTTTTTTTTTTGAGGTTGAAAATAGTTTGTTAAATTGTTTGGTCAGTATGAGTGAATATTTTTTTTTTTTGAAATTTTATTAAATAACTTTTGAATTTTTTTTTTTTTTTAAATAAATGTATGAATAAATGAATAAAAAAAAAAAACCAATTAAACCAATCATTTTTGTATATTTTAAATTATTTATTTATTATTACAAATACCAATACGAATTAAAAAATGCGCTGTAATTAAATAAAATATTTGTTTTACTAAATTTGCATATATTAATTTTTGAATTTATTAAAATCTAAAATAAAATTAATTGAAAAATTCTTTAGCATCGTTTAAAATATTGATTGTTTTTTCAAAGAAAAAAGCGCAAGAAAAAGAAAAAAAAAAAAGAAGTAAAAACTTTGTGATATTTATATAATTTAATAAAATATTCTTTTCTTTTTTTTTTTGCTAAAATATTTTAATATTTAAATTTAAATTTAAAATTAGAAATTGTGTTTATGACAAAGCAAAAAATAAAAAATGCCTAAAATGCCATTTACAATTGATGTGCAATTTCCATATAATTTATCGCTACGTCTTTTCTTTCTTTACATATTTAATTATTCAATATGAAAAATCTTTTAACCTCATTTTATTTAAATTTTAAATCATTCAATATTCATTTCCATAAATATTTTAAAATTTTACTTCCATAATAATGTTTTTTTTTTTCAAATTATTTTTTTATTATACAAATAATTCAACTTTTTTTTTTTTTGTATTTTAATTATTTAACTTTAAATAATTTTCATTTCCATAAATATTTTAAAATTTTACTTCCATAATATGTTTTTTTTTTAATTATTTTTTATTATACAATAATTCAACTTTTTTTTTTTGTATTTTAATTATTTATCTTTAAATAATTTCATTTCCATAAATATTTTAAAATTTTACTTCCATAATATTTTTTTTTTTTGTATTATAATTATTTATCTTTAAATAATTAAAGTAAACAGTTTTTTTTTTGCAATAACTACTTAGCATTTTTTAATTGATTTTACTAAAATTTCATTTTGCATTTTGTTTTTCTTTTGCTTTCAAAAGTGTTTGCAATGAGTGCAAATTTTGAGGTTAACGAAAGAGAAAATTTTAAAAAAAAATTGAAAAAAAAAATTTCTTTATGCTCTAATAATTATCAAATTTTTATACAATTCAATTGTGCTATTTAAAAAAAAAAATTTTTTTATATTTTTTTTTTTTTGTTACTATTTCATTGAGAATTTTAAAAATATCTCTTAAGCAAAATTTTTTTTTTTTTATTGAAAAATAATTTTTCTTTTAAAAAACAATTTTGAATAGTTCACGTCATTTCTGCATTGTAAATTCATTTTTGTTAATCTTTTTTAAAATATCTTTAAATATCATAAAGTATTTAAAAATTGAAATTTGCTAAACATATAATTTAGATGAATGATATTATTACTTTATTATTTTAGTTTTAAATCTTTTTCTTTTTTTTTTTCAATTTATCAATAAAATGAATAATAAAATTTTTGAAATAATTTTTAGACAGCTAATAAATTTGAAAAATTTTGTATAAAATTTTAGCTTTTTTTTTTTTTTTTTTTGGTGACAGAATAATGAAATTATTTAATTGAATATTGATTTAATGGATGAAAAGTTCAATCATCTTTTTGTTTTTTTTTTTTTTTTTTCTCTTTTTTTTGCATAAATTGGAATTTTTATAATAATTTGCAAATTGTTATGATGTTAATGATGTATTTTGAGGATTCAAAGAGGTCATCAGTAAATAAACAAATTATTATTTATTAATTCATTCCATCGATTTAAACATAATTCCTTCTTCCAATTTCTATTTTGATATACAAACATTCGATGGTGATAATCTATTTGATAAAATTTTTTAAATCATTTTTAAAAATTATTATTTATTGCTATATTTTATAATTTATCTACTATTTATACGCTTTTAATTTAATCATTTTCTGAATTTTTAAGTATTTAATTAATTAAATATTATTTTGATCTCTTCGCGTCAATAATTATAATCAATTTTGTATTTAAAATTATTCTCAAGAATAATAGAAAGATTTAAAAACTGTTTTTTTTAACTTTTTTTTTTTAATTTTACTATTTTTTTTTTGAAATGCAAATGCATAATTATTTTAATTACATATTAGATGTAAAATAAATTCAGATTTCTATCTTAATTGAAATATTTTTTGTTAAAATCTTTTAATTCAATTAATTTTATTTCATCGTTTTTTTTTTCTGAATGAAATAGCTAATTTATTTTAAATAAACATTTTTATTTGAATTTAATTCATTTATGCAAATTTAATTTCTTACAAAAAAGCATGCATACATGCATGCATGCATGCATGCATTCGTGCGAATATTTTATAAGACAACAAATTCAGATACTAAATTTTTGAATATTTTATAAAATATTGTAATAATATGTCGACTGTTATAAGAAATTATAACTGCAAATTAAATTTATAAATTCCAACAAAAATTTGAAGCTGAAAAAATTTAATTATTAATATCGAATATTATTGATAATAATTTGTTATTCAGGTAATAAATATATTTTGAAAAAACTGGAAAAAGTTTTTTCTTCAAATACTTTTGAAGTCAAAATGCAATAACAATTTGATAAATTTACTTTTTTCCGGAATTAATTCCTGTTTTTTGTTTCACCTAAAAAATCATTTCTTATTTTCATCTTATTTAATTTATGTTCATTTTTTTTCATTCTTATTTTAATTTGAAAACTATCCATTGTATTTGATTGGATAAATTAGTTTTTATTATTACAATCATTTGTTGTGTAAATTTTTTTGTTTACCTAATATCAAATGCATTGATAAATTTAAAATATTTATATTTCATTTCTTTCATTTTTTTAATTTATATTAAAATATATTTTAAATTTTTTATTAATACAATCATTTTTTTTTTTCAAATGCATTGATAAATTTAAAATATTTATATTTCATTTTTTTTTGTTTTTTAATTTATATTATAATATATTTCAAAATTTTAAGCTTTTAAACTTCTAAAATTTAATTTTAAGAAAAATATTTAATACATTTTTATAAAGACATAAAATTTGTACAAAATTTATTTTGCTTTGCACTCATTATTTATAGCAAATATTATTAGTTAATGTTGTTTATTCGATGCTTCAATTATATGAAATTATAAATTATCAATGTTTGTCATATAATTACATCATTGGATTATTCGTCACTAGCATTTGAAAAGGATTTATAAATTTTTGAAATCATCAAGAATACCGGTTTTCTGGTTGTTTCATTCCGAATAACTAACTGATCCTTTCTATTACTTATTTATGCTTATTTTCCATTTGCAAAATATGTTTATTTCATTCACATTTTGCAACATTTCTTTTACATCAAATACTTTTATAACTTTTTTTTAAAAAAAAAAAAAATTTATTCAAAAAAAGAAATAACTTTTTTCAGAAAAAAAAAAAAATTGGTATTAATTATTTATAACTTTTTCAAAAAAAACAAAAAAAAAACAAAAAAAAATTGATATTAATTATTTTTTAAAATTTAAAAAAAATTATGTCTAAAATTAAACATTCGTGAAAATTAAAAATTAATTAAAATTTAGTTTAAATTGAAATTGAATTTAAATTAAAATATTCTAATTCCATTAAATTTTTTTTTTTTTTCTAAATAAAGAAAAAGAAAAAGAAATTGATGGCATTTTGTCGTACAACATTAATCGAACGTCTTTTAAACAATAATAGCAATCTAAATACTAATGCAACGTTGGGTATTCCACGAAATTGGAATGATATTGATTCATTTGAACGAGTAAGTTAAATTATTTTAAATTTTAATTTTTGTTTTTTTTTTTTTTTTAAAAGCTAAATTATTTTTGAAATGTTAAAATTAATTTTTGAATTAGCTTAATTTTTCTTTTTTTTTTTTTTTTTTTTGAAATGTTATAATAAATGTTTTTGAATTTGTTAAAATTTTGAAGAGAAATATTTGAATTAGAAATTATACTTTAAAAAAAAATTTTTTCATATATTTGTTATCAGTTATCAATTTTAATGATAAATAAATTATTTTGAGGATAATATTATTGAAGTTTATCGAAAACTTCCAAATATTGAAGAACAAATTTGGGGTAAAGTTATTGTAATGGAACGGAATATTCGCTCTGCAAAGGCATATCTACGATCACGTGTTATTACAATTGACGGAAGTGAAGCTGAATTTGATGGTGTTCGGTATGTTTTTTAAAATTTTTGAATTTTAAATTTTGATTTAAATTAAAAAACATTTTTAACACTGTTTTCCTGGTGCGTTTTTTTTTTTTTTTTTTTAAGCCATAGATAGCAATAATTATTGAGTATTAAATTTTTAAAGATTTAAAAATTTTAATTTAATAATAAATCCATTGAAGTAGATCAACGTATTAGTGATGAAAAAAAAAAAAAAGTGGAATTGTTTAGACGTTTTATGACGTGTAATACGTGTTGCTGATAAAATTAACGTAGCAACGATTAACCTTATTAGTAGATTTTAATCTTACTAATAGAATTTTTGATATTAATTGATAAATTATCGTTTAATATTCTTACAAAAAAAGTTTAATTAATAAAACTATAATCAATGATTCAAATCTCTTTTTTTTTTTTTCTTTTTTTGGTATAAAATTTAACTTGTTAAATTTTTTAAAATTTATTGATTTTATTTCTGAATTTTTCTTTCTATATAAATTAAACAAATGAAATACACTACGTTTCAAAATTTATTCTATTCCAATTTAAAAAAAAAAGTGAAAATTAGTTCTGTAATTCGATAATATTATTGAAATACTTAATTGATTAATTGATGCTGGATCGATCAATTGTATAAATTTGATAAAACGAAATTAATTTTAAAAATTTTTATCCTTTTTCAGTCATTTATTAAATTCAATTGATAATTGCCACATTTTAAAATATAATAATAATAATTATTATTATTATCAATGGATGTTGGCATATTTTTCTTCAATAATTTTTTAAATTAACATCAAAAAAAAGAAAGGAAAAAAAAAATTGAATACAATAATTCATTTCCATTCCAAATTTTAATATATGAAAAACCGGTTTTTCTTCCGGTTTTTCTTTTTCATTTCATTCTATGCTATATTGTGTTCACATTAAATTTAAATTTATATAAAAGGAATGGATATAGACTAATTTTAAATCAATTATTATTATTATTATTTAATTGAAAAATACTTTTTCATGAAAATGCATTTGATAAAATTTACTATAAAATTTACAATTTTTCCTTTCGTTTTATTTAAAATGAAAAATTCATTAATATAAAACAAAATTTGTTTCTCAGAAATAATTTTCACATTTATAATTACACTTACTCGCACAGTTTTCTATTAATTTTAATTATTAAATTTAATTTTCGTTTATAAAATTAATTTTAATTATTAAATTTTCGTTTATAAAAAGTTAAATTAAATTTTTATTAATATTTTTCTTTTCTTTCCTTTTATAGCATTGGTTTACAACGATTTGACAATTCATATCGTGATGATGGCACAATTAGAGCATTTGAAACTTTTGGAAAAGTCTGTAAATTTTCAAATTTTTGTTACAATCTATTTTTAAAATATTTTATTAATTAATAAAAATATTTGTGATAATAAAATGATTAAAATTTTAGTAAATTTTATTATCATTAAAAATTTTTTGAAATATTTCACTGATGATTTCTCACGTGAATTTGATTAAAATTTATTTCAAAAATTTAATCTTTTAATTATTTTACTAGATGAAAGTGTAATGTTATTACTATTCTGATTAATCTAAAATAAATAAATTTTTTATAATAAATAATAAAAACATTTTTTGAATTTTTGAATGATAAAAAAAATAGTTTCATTTAAACTTTCTCTTCAAATTCATTAAAATTCGTTTGTTACAAATTTCTAAAAACTAATTGAAGAATTTTTTAACAGATATTACTAATATAATTGCAATAATATTATACTTTAAAGATTATTTAATTATAAATTTGTTTATTTTTATAAATTTTTTTTTTTTTTTCATAAATTGGTTGGAAGAAAAATTATAAAAATGTTAACTTTTATTTTGAAAATTATAATAATCATTTAAAAAAATCTGCTACAAATTAATTTTTTAATGATAAAATTGAAATTGCTATGGGTTAGTTTCTAATAATAATTTTTAAATTTTTTAAAAAGTATAAAAAGTAAAACTTTCTTTCCAATTTTTTTAATTAATTTTAATTTTTCGTTTTTTTTTTTCAGGGTGTAAAAATGAAAATTGATGATATTGGTAATGTTTGGCTTAAATGTATCGAAGGAAGTGTATTTGTTAGTGGAATACTTGGAGAAATTATTGTTAAGAATGATCCAATTAAAGTAAAACAAAAAAATTTTTTTGATCTGATATTGATTTTTTTTTTTTTGAGAATAGATAAAATCATATGATTAGGGCGTTATGATATATTTTATCAATAACTTTTAATTTAAGTATTATTAATTATTTATTGATTAGAATAGAGTTTAAATTTTGGATATATTTTAACAATTTTATTCAAAAATCATCAATGCTGTAAGAAAAGTTTAAAAATTGCTAAAAATTATACATTTAATATTTAATTGTCAATTTGTAATGAAATTATTTTCAGATTTTTGATTTAAAAATTCTCAAAGAAATTGTTTCACGTAATAATGATTTTGATGAAATTGCACGTGATCGATACAGTCGAATGGCAATCACTTACGCACACGTTTGATATACTTTTATTAAAATTTATATAATTTTTTTAATTATAATTTAATTTATGAATATTTAAATAAAATCACAATAATAATATCAATATTTTAAATGCTTTAGTATTAATTATAATTTAACTTATGAATGATTTAAATAAAATCATATTAGTAATATCAATATTTTAAATGCTTTAGTATTAATTATAATTTAACTTATGAATGATTTAAATAAAATCATATTAGTAATATCAATATTTTAAATGCTTTAGTATTAATTATAATTTAATTTATGACTATTTAAAATCACAATAATAATAATAATATCAATATTTCAAATACTTTAGTATCAATTTCTTTCTTCCTTTTAGTATTAGTTCAGGTAACTTCAGGTAAATGTAGTATTAGTTCGGGTAAACTTTTTTTAGTATTAATTCAGGTAATTTAGATAAAAAAAGATATTAATTAATATCAATTTACAAATTACCTATGATTGCTATGATAATTTCTGACATATATAAATTTGAATTATTATTATTAAATTATAAATAATAAAATATTTTTAGATTAATAAACCAACAAATCCACTTTCATCAGCATTATGGTTTGCTGTAATAAATCTAACAGCGCTAGAAATGATTCAAATATTATTTCCCAGTAATTCAGGTAATTTAGGTATATTTTTTTTATCAAAGTCAATCAAAAATTTTTGCTATAATTTAATATATTAATGAAATAATAAAAAGTAATTAATAAATGAATTAATGATAAAATATTCTACAAATAATCTAATAAACATATTTAAATTAGTTTTTTTTTTGTTTTAATTTCTAAAATAAAATTTTAAAATTAATGTTATAATTTTAGTCTCGAATACACCATCACCAACAACAAGTGCTGAACATCATAGCATAAATCATTGTGATGGCTATTCAGCGACCAGTAGCGCCGATACAAATTGCAATGTGCGCACTGTTTCATCAACTAGTTCAGGCTCCTCATCTCATTATTCTGCAGTTAGCTCTGCTTATTGGAATCGACAATTAAGGTTAACTTTTTCTTTTTTTTTTTTTTTTTTTTGTTTTTTAAATTTTTTCGTTTTTAAATCGTTTTTTTTTTTTTTTAAAGTTTTAAAAAATAAATTTTTTTTTTCGTTTTTTAAATTTTAATTTAAGTCAAAAAAGAAAAGAAAATAATAGTTTTGAATTAATTTTTGAATGAATTTAAAATAAATTTGGTATTTAGATCACGTGGTGGTGCTTACAAGAAAATTAATCGAGAACCAAATGTATATTCATCATCAAGAAATGCTACAAATTATGAATCGGAAGTTTGACTATATTTCATATTCTTTTTCTTAATTCAATAATTTAATTGTAAATTATAAAATTGATGAGAAATATTCTGAATACTGCTGCTATTATGCATCGAAATTTATTTTTGAAATTTCAATTTATAACTGAAATATCAACTAGATAATGTTATAAATAGAATCAGAATCAGAATGTTTGTTATATTTTATGTGAAAAGATTAAGCAAAATAATTTAAGTTTTTTTTTTTTTGAAAACGTATTTGACGTATTATACAAATTTGAAAATTATGCTCCTTAAATAGCTAAGTAATTATAAACGTATTTCACGTACATACTCTAAGTTATACTCTAACAAGAAAGTATGTGTAGAATCACTAATTTATTGATTGATTTATCAGTAAATTTTACAAAAATTTATTCCAAATTATTACAAAAAGCATTATTTAATGATTAATTTAACTTTTTTTTTTTTTTTTTTTTTTTTTTTGTGAAAATCATAGCAATTTCTTAACTTCTTTTTTTTTCTTAATAATTTATTTTTAAGAACTTTCGAAAAGAAAAAGGTCGAAGTCTTCTGGATTTAAGTGATTTGGATCGATTACGTAATCCAGTATACTTCCGTAAAGAACGAGAAAATCGTGGTGGACCAGGACATAAACGATTAGGTCATTTCACACAACAATTGTCAACCTCACCTTTGACACCGTACTACTCGTCAAATATAAATTGGCGTTCACGAAGTGAAACATCACTTTACTGTGAAAGACTTTAGAGATGAACAGATAAATTTTTTGTGCCAAATATTAATTTGTAATAAAAAAAAAAAAAACACTAATTAAGCAAATTACCTTCCTCTGTAAATTATATAACTTATATTTCAATATTTAAAATCAAATTCAAACTTCTTAATTTACTGAATAAAATTTAATAAAGATGACAAATTGATTAAATCACACTATCCTCAATACTACAAATGAATGATAATTTTTCAAGTAATTAGAGAATATTTCAAAGATAACCTAGAGGGAAGCTTTTCACTTTTCAAATTTTATTGAATGCCAAGAAATGAAGCTAAAAAGAAATCCCGGAAGTCTTTTCCTTTTTTTCCTTAATTTCCGAACATCCGTAAAGCTCAGTCGCAAAAATTTAGACTTCAAAATTTTAAATCTTAACTTATATCGAAAAAAAAAAAAAGTAACTTATTCAAATTTCAATTATAATAAATGATTTTATTTAAAAAAAAAAAATTATTGAAGCACAAATAATATCTAAAAAACTATGGTAGATCATCATAACATATTTTTACAATATGCTTGTGTCTTCTGTGATAATTTTCTATTAACTTTTCATTATAACATTATACGAATGTTTGTTTTTCTATTTAATTTACTACAATATTACAGCGAAATGAACTTTTCAACTTATTAATATTATAATAGTTGTAAAATGTGAATAAAAATAAAATGATTAGAGTACAAATCGATGAAGTAAATGTAACGATTGTACGATGCTATGTATGTTCCTTAACTTAACTCAACTTTTAATATCAATCAATAAAGTTTATTAATGTGACAACATTTCGATGTTTCATTTTACGCACAAATATTTTAAGCAAAGTATTAAAAAAATTTTTAAATTAATCATAGACTCAATCCAAATATCTTTTAAAATATTTTAATCAAAGTTTGAATATGGATGAAGAGAATTTTTTTAAGTGAAAGAAATATTAAAAGAAATACATTTACAAAATTCATAACTTTCAACATTCACAACGCTAAATCTCGATTAAAAAAAGAAAAGTGTGGTTGTCTAAACAGCTGCAGCAAATAAATATACAATGTGCAGAATACAGAAGAGTTAACAATGACAAATAAAATATTTAATACTTCTCTAAATTTTCAAAGATTTGCAAGAAAATAAGACTAAAGAAAAAGATGACTCATTATTTTGAATATAATGGCTTTGTTCAGTGTTCTGTCAAATGACATATTTCAGAACAATATGACAGCTCTCAATAAAATATGGAATGAAGAGTAATAACTAAAAGTCTAGTTTACAAAGCTATCTTAGCTCATTTGAGGAAAAATTAGTCTTTATACAAACGCAAATTAATTACTACTAAACAAAAAGCTACCATATAACTAATCTTTCTTCATCCGAGTTGTTACCATACGATAAATAATTGAATCTTTACCTGGATCCATATTCCACAAACCAACAGTTACAAAGAGAACAATTAAAAAAAGTGCAACACTTACGAGTAGAAATATGCCAAAAGTAGCCGGATAATTGCCAGATGAAAACTGAAAATTTATTAAAAATTAAAAGCAAAATAAGCAAGATCTAAAAATATAAATCATTGAAATATTTTGAAAAATTATATCATTAAGACAACTATACTGCAATGTATCCAAAATTTAAATAAAATTAGACATTCTTTACTATATTCACACGCTAAATCACTTAATTACCAACAAAGAAATCCTTAGGAATTATAAACAAATATAAAAATTAAATGCATGATTTTGTAATTAATAGCTTATCAAATTTATTTCAAAATAGCCCAGTTCAGAAAAAAAAAAAAAAAAAAAAGAGAAAAAGATGAAGAATAAAAGCAACAAGAAAGAAAGCAAGATATCTCATAAGCAACAAGTGTAGATAGAAACCTGATAAACGTTTAGTTCCTTTCGTAACTTCATTATCCGGTCAGATGGACTTTTAGGACTCTGAAAACGAATTCATTTGCAAAAAATAAAAAAATAATAAGATGGAAAATTTTTTGCTAATTTTTAGCCCGTTTTTCCTTTCATAAATGAACTACACCGTCCTGGAAATGGATAAGTAGGCTTCACCATAAAAAAGATAGCAAAATGTTGCCTACTTCTACTAATCAAATTTCCGAGGAGAATTATCTTTCTGTAATCATGGAAATTTCTATTTGTTATGATCTATGAAAGAAAATTATTTGCAAATATCTTCTTCCTTCTCTTATATTAACGTTGATCACAATATCGAAATGAGCCAAATTTTATTTAGAGAAAAATGGATTATATGACTGACATCTTCCTGTCTTTTTTGTCTCTTTTTGATTTCAGACTTTGATTCCGTAATGAGCTCCGCAATTACACGATCATTGTATGTATTCCGCAGTACAGAAATTAAATGTTGAATTGCGCTTTCCAGCTCGTCAATAGCTAGTTTATATTCGTTTTTGGATAATTCCTTCTCAGCAGCTGGCAAACCATTCACGTTGATAATAAAAATTGTTGGGGTGTTTCTAGTACGAGCAACTTTCGATTTACTTATCTAAAACTGTCGGAACTATGAAGTGTTTCAGATAAAATATTAATCAAAGTCATACAACTAAATTTGATACGTATCAAAAACTAATTATCTAAACTATACCTTATTTACATTATTCATCATTTGCTTAACATAAATGTTTGTCATGAACGGAGAGTAAAATATCCTAGGTTAAAGTCATTAGAACAGTTAACTTTTTTTTTTAATATAACTTATAATATTCTTGCCTTAACAATATTTTATTTTTTTTTTTTATGAATGTGAAATAAAGGTTAACAATCTTAGATATATTACCGATTCTGCAATTTTATAAAGATTTTCAATTTCTTGTCGTAGTGGCTTGCTTTTCGTCTTGACTTGAATTCCTAACAAAGTATTCTGAGCATCATAAGCAATTTGTGAACCTTCCAGCATTGCGTTCTGCATCAGAATCCATTCTTGTCCTTCATCACGAAATACTTTATTGTTAACCAATTCTTCATGATTGAAATCTTCGCCATCTGCCGATACAGCATATTTGGATGGTGGTAAGTTGCTCAGAGCTTTTCCATTAATGACAGTAACTAAAAGTAAAAGAATTTCTTCAAGTTAATGTCAGATCGTCAAAAAAAAAAAATTTTTTTTTTTTACTAGATGAAAAACACTAACCTACTGCTAATGCTCGTGGTCTTCTGAAAATATCACCCTCAATTGCCCATGTTAGAGGAGTTTCAGCTGTCATTCCCAGCATGTATTTGTTCGCTTGCATAACATCAGCTTTGGATAAAAAAGCTGCAGTAGGTTCCGAAAGTTCAACTTGCTTAGAAGCTAAGAAATACAATTCGGCGCATAATGATTCTGAAACAAAAAATCACCTGAAAAATCGATAAGAATAATTTTTACAATGATATAAATAAATTTGATGAACCGATATCAAAATGAAATATAATTACCTTGTATCAAAGATAGTATCGCCAAAATTGTATAAATATAAGCCATGCCTAAGAACCTGTAAACCATTTTTGTTAATGCTACAACTCTTTGAAGCGGAAGCGACAAAAAAAGAAAAGAAAAAACCGAATAAATTGGTAAGAAATATGTGAAATTATGCATGAAATATATCAAAAATCATGAATGCTTGCACTGCCCAAAAAAAAAAAAAAAATCTGTTCTGGAAGCTTTAGAAACCGAACGCACATGAAGGAAACAAAAAATTCATTTTTATTTGAGAAAATAAATGACATCAAAGCAATCTACATTATATTCATCACCAAACTCCTCGCTGCACACCAGATAATTGACCATGATCAGCAAGACGCCTGAAAATATTCCTCTTATTCTATCATTGATTAGTTCATTAATTTGTTACAATATCAAATTTTAATTTAATTTATGACTAAAACATTTAACAACCTCAAAAACAAAAATCTAATTTCCGCTTCAAATGAAAAAAGCTGATTGTCTTGAATTGAGAATGAAATGAAGCATTAATATTTATAACATTTATGAAATGAATACCTGAAAATCTGTCGATGAAGATGAAATCTATTCAGTTTACCACGTCGTGCACCACTAAACTGACATAAATGCTGAACAAGATTTGGACATGATCCTTTGGGTAAATTATGCAACTTTTTTGCACATTCATCTCTAATCAATTCCGGTAATATAATATTAGATTTCAGTGCTTTCAATCGAACACGATCTGGGCCAAGTTCAGCAAGCAAATGTCGCCTTTTGACATCTCGTTTCATTCGCCATGTTGACCAAAATGTCATCCTATTACCATCTTTCCACCATTCACGTTCCACATAGTACGGATATTTGTCTAATCTGTAGAAAAAAAAAAAAAATGAAACTCGTTTAGTTAACTACACTTAATCTTCTCATTTAGTAATCACAAAAATTTAATTAAAATCATCTTCACTTCCAATATATTCCTTTAATACAACAGTTTAGATCTTTTCATAAATAAAACTAATGCAAAATTTCATTCTAGTAAATTCCTTACAATATCTAATACTAATTGAAGTAAAAATTTAATACACTATAGCAAATTTTAGCAATTTTTACTTTAATGTTTCCAATGCTTTTTGACTGTAAGGTAAGGCAAGCCGTTCCTTACTAACAGTGTCCATAACTGCATTTGATAGATCACTTTCAACAGTTGAATTATCGTTAGCATCCAATGCAGATGGAATTGTTTCAGCCGTATCGACTTCCTTAGAACTTGTCAAATAGCGCGTAGAATCAATTACTCGGTACCATGATGTATTCAACTTTGAAAGCACAGACGTGAACAATCGCGAAGGTAGCATCAACAAGAAGCTGCAATTATTTATGAATTAATTAAACGATATAATTATTATCAGAATTCTAATGCACAAATGCAATTTCTTCTGCAATTTTCCAGATGTTCAGTAAGTAAATTGCATTAATTACTTCAGCGAAAATATTTTTAAAATCTGTCATAGTTTAATAAAGAAAAATAGGTTGATGTAGTGTTCATATTACTTAGGAAAGCTCGTCGAATATTATCAGATCCAAATTTGCGGCCGTAGAAGTTAGAGTATCATGATAAAGAAAACTGAACATTCTTTTCATAGACGTGGGAAAGGAATCATATCAATACAAAATCATTATTTATGTATTTATGTAAAAACAAGCTAAAAACTTGAGCTAATTATTTCAGCGTTGGAAAAAAATAAAATTAGAAATATTTCAGGAAGTAACCAAAAAAAAAAAAAATATCATAAAATTTTTATGCATTACTTTATTTCAATAAGGCACGATCACACTGGATACTCGTAATCAGAATGACTATTTATGAAAGTAATGCAATATTAAGCAAACAGCTTTAGAATTTATGTCTTTGAAAAAAAAAAAAAAAAAAAGTAGACATAGAGGCAACTACCAAAGGCCAAAATGTTTGGGTCAACAGTAAAAGATAAATTAGATGAAATGAATTTTTACTTAATAAAATCATGAACTTTATAAATACTTTTTTTTTTTCGTGAAAATGTTGATATTTTTTGGTAGAAAAATTCAATTCCGAGAGAATATAAAACTGAAGTAAAAAAAACTTCGCAAAACCACTTAAATGCATCATTCCTTATCATAGCTTACTTAGACAGGCAACAACGGTTAAATGCCTTTTTAATGATTGCATACATATACATTTGAATATATAAAAAAAAAAAAAAAAAAAAAACTGAAAATAGGAAACACATAACAACCTGTGAAAAAGAACGAATACAATACTATCTACAAAGACAGAAAACAATATATATATATGGCAATTATGAACACATGAGACTGACAAGAGTCATCATGCATAGTTATATATGAAACAGATGAATCTATCCTGAATATATTGATAGCCTCATGTAAATGACCTGGACTGAATGTAACTGTAAATAGGAACCATTCTTTCTAGCTAAAAATTAGTTTTGGTATTGTACGATTATGGGGAATAAACATAGCCAACCAATAAATGAATGATTAGGCTTAAATAGAATCATATAAAACCCACAAAAGAGATCAAAAATGCGCCAATGACCAGGTATAAAGGATAAAATTGAAGAGCACTGAAACCTAAATTAAGATAGAGCTCTGAATTTCAATGCACTAATCAGTGGGAAAAAAATTCGACGAGCCAGCTTTGATCTTTGTACGATTCACAAAAATACGAATTGAACCATTCAAATCCGCTGAAATAATGACATCACCGTGAATTTGCCGATCTGATATATTTTTGCTAGGTTTCGATTGTTCACTCCTATCATCACCGCTGCGACGTTGCTCCAGAAGGTTTAAAAAGAGCTGTGGACGAGGTGCAAATATTGCCACTGTTACACATGCCGAGTGACCTATGATTTCATTAGTAATAGTTAGTGGAATAATAAATGCATCATAAGTTCACATAAATACAGTAAGCATCATACTATTAAAATTATATTTTAATATAGCAGTCCTATTTGCAATTAGAACTCATTTATATACATGAAAAACTACAAAAGTAAATTAAGGACTTCAATTATGCCTACAAGTAGCTTTATAAGAAACATCTAACCTCGCAAACGTTGCCACGAATCGTTTCGATCTTTGCGGACAGATAATGTGGATGGTAAATCAGCAGTTGTCCAAATATAAATAAAACGATCTTCACTTCCACAGACAATATGCTTACCATCAGGTGATAAAGAAGCTCGAATCTGACTTCTCTCATTCTGAGCACCCTACAATGAAAAATTAAGAACATATAAGAAAATAAGAGTAAATCATAGCTTCATTTAAATCTACCTTAAATTTGCAAGTAAGGGCCATATCTCGCAAGTCATACATGCGAATACGTGAATCATTTGAAGTGACCAATAATTTGTCTCCATGAACAGCTAGACCTGTCACCTGAAAAGATCCGTAGTGGATATATGTGCAAGGGAAACATATGAAAAATAATGAATTTAACCTAATTACTTCTAGTAAACTTGAAAGAATTTACAAAATTATTTGAAAAATTAAAAATAAAAAATTAATCACTTTATGCCCTCTGGCATTTTTGCCTCGAGTTGACCTGACATCAATGACAGTGTGATACTTGAGTTGATCAGTTGTATAGAAAAAACAACGACCATCGTATGTACCCACTACAGCAAACTTCCCATTTTTGGCGAATGCGATAGCTGTTATGAATTTTACTTGCTCCACTTCGTTCCATAAGGCTACTTTCTTGTCCGGTATGTGCCAAAGACGAAGTTTACCATCCAGTGATCCAGAAAGAAAATATCGATCATCCTTAAAAATAACAATCATTAATATGTGAGATAAAGATAATTTTCAAAAATATTTTTTAAGATGTTTTTAAATATACTATAAAAAAATGCATGACTTTATTAATAATATTCCAATACGATTTAAAAACAAAAATTTAAACCTTTGGCATGAAAGCAATGCATGTAACAAAATCCATATGTTGAAAACAACAAAGACATTCTGGACGAGAAAGATGCCACAATTTAACTGTACGATCCATTCCGGACGACAGGATAAAGTAATTACGAGACCATGACAAATCCAATACATCAGCAGTATGACTCCTATATGTACATAATGGTTTTGATGCCATTAAAGCAGTCGTTACGGAGTTACTTTCATCATCGTGTGATGTGGATGATCCTGCGCTTTCGCCAAGCTGAAACATCTTCCATCTTCCAAACATTTAGTAAAACATTATTCTCAATAATGTAATAAAACCATTACAAAACTCTAATAACAATAAATTTAGCATTGAATTAATGAGAGAGCAAAGCTATTTTTCTTGTCATAGGAATTGCTCACAGAAGTTTCCATTATAATGCTCAACTTTAGTCTTAATTGCGATTTCATAAAATTTCACTACAACCTGACGTTGCCAAATCTGGTAAAATAAAGGATAGAATTTTAAAGTACAAAAGGGATATACAAAAACTGATTCATTAATATGCCTGAACTTCATGAAGACGGAAATCTTCCAAGATATTAGCATAAAAATCTAAAGTAAGTGGTGATGGTGAACGTGAAATAGTCAAAAATATGTTGTATTTGTTTCTTTAGTACATTTGCCTATTAGTCAAAAGCTTCCCATATACACTAATAAGAAAAACTGCCAAGAAAGTAACAGTTTCTTATCAAGTTTTATAAAAAATTAAAACTTTTTGTTTATGAACCGTTGAAAAATTTACCGTAGTGGAAGAAGAACGCAAATCATTTTCAATATCTTGTATCGGATTTTGCAACATATTTTCTCCTACAGTCATAGAAATTTTCTTAGAATGTGAATTGTAACGATCACGTAAGGCATTGAAATATGATAAATGATTGCGCAGCACCCAAACCCGTATTATACTATCCTGACCAGCCGTAGCCAATAGACGTCCGCATAATGAAAATTTCATGCACCATACAGCGCCCTGAATTTAACCGATTATAACAATGTTTCTCTAATCCTCTTTAAAGTCTACCAATCTCCAAATAATTTAACGAAATCATAATTATTTAGGATTTCTTGATTTTGCAACAGAACAAACAATCGGACAATAACAGATAATGAAACAATCTTTCATCATTTTAAAAACCAAATAAATTCCGCTTCTAAATGAATAATTTCATGATAGATTTCATGAAAGATATTTGAAATAACTAAAGATAAGCTAAACTAATCAAAAGAATAACTAGTAAGATGAAAAGAAAAGGTGATAGATTTTTTTTTTTGTTCAAAACAAATATATTAAAACAAAATCTATTTAGATGAATGAGAAATCCAACCGTATGCTCGTTGTTAAGCTCTTGGTAGCAGCGTGTGCCATCAAAATCAAATGGTCCTTTCTTGGAATTCCTTGGCCGCACAATTGGAGTACCCTCAGCTATGGAAGAATCTTCACGATCACTTTCATTACAACTTTCATCGTCTTCTTTAGGAAATTTTGATGTTGATCTCAAACAGTAACCATTAAAATAGAACATGGTTAAATGTGTATTATGGTTAAACGTAACATTTTAAGAAAATCAATTACCCTGAAGATACGACACTTTTTGCTCGTAAAAAAGCACCACGAAAAAGCTCAGATGCATAAGTTCCATATCCTTTAACGAATTCCGCTGCTCGTCCAAAACTGTTCGACGATGGAGCTGCATGTGAAGAAGGACTATCTTCCAACCTGCAACCAAACTGGAAAGTTTTCTATGAATCACTACATATTCCCAAGTAAACATTAGTTTTTAGTAAATATTACTACGTTCGGTATCACAAACTCAGAATCAAAAACCAACTCTCCAGAAGTCTGCTGGTGTCCTTTCATGCTCATACGTCTTTCCACATCACGAGTTATTGGATCTGAATATTCAGTTTGAGCACTTTGTGCGGTACAGTTGTCTCCTATCGAAACTTGCTCCGATAATGGTTCCGAATGTTCTGTAACCGCAAGATCTTTCGACGACGAATCTGAATCCTGTAACGAAAACGTATACTAAAAAATTTAAAAATTTCATTTCGGGATAATTGCATGATGATAAAATACTCAAATTTTAAATGGTCATTAAGAACCGATTCCTTTAGATGTTGCAAGCATTCAGCAGAATTAAAATAAGATAAATAAGAGCATTAACCATTTTTGAATGGCAGGTAGACTTTGGGATTGTAATTTGTAATTTATATAATTTATCCTGAGAAGCATCATCAGTTACCCTGCCATCGTTTAAAATTGATCTTTTTGGAGAGGAAGTGGAAATTGAAGAGGTGGTAGAAAATTCTTCTCCAACTGATGATAAACGACCACTTGAAACATCATGCACAGGTGATTCCAATGTTAATATTTCTTCTCTGAAATAACCGGAAAGATTATTTAAGAATAATCATTTGCTAAACTGGTTAAAGAATTTTGATTACCGCAAGAGTTTCCTGTGAAAAAGTGCTCAAATTTTTTTAATCAACTTGTTAAATGAGTTATAAATGCGAGTATGGAAATCCCACAAAACATATAAACCCACGCATTTTAATGAATAGCATTCAGTAAAAAAAGGAAAATTTGATCGCCCATATCATCAGATTATTCTTGTGGGCCTATGATTTATATATATGAGACTAATGCACTCTGCTTCATGCAAACTTCCACTAAATGCAATCTTACTAATTTTATGCAGGATGACTTTGATATAAATAAAGCTTTAAGATATTCTCAGCAGCGAGTAATTGAAAGTACCCATGCTCACAAATAAGTAGGAAAACTTTCAAACAGTATTCATAACTATGATTTAGTAAACACTTAGCAAATTAACTTACTTTAGTGGTTCATTGAGTATTGAAGAGGTGATTTGATGAATAACGCCCTGAGCATCGCTGTTCCTTAGATCTTCTTCTCCTCCATCGAAAGATAAATAGGGTGAACTGCATGGAGAATCAGCAAAATATTCACGTTTTAGGGAATTACTTTTGTCACTACGTGGTGGAAATGGACCTGATTTCATGCTTTTTGCCAAACTTAATCCACGATCCAGCGAATTTGTCTTTGCATGTCCACGCAATCGGGCAAAACCATCAACCATTGAAACAGAATCCTTTTTAAATGGTTTGTCTGACTTGATGCTGTAAATCTTTATTCCAAATCAACTTTATTTAAACCAGGATTTTGAAACAAAAATTCCATGATTTGTGTCGAGCATTCGAAAATTGCATACTATGAAACTTACTAATCTTCGAATTAGCACTGCAGTGATTAGCAGCAAAAAAAAAAAAAAAGAAAAAAAAAAAACTTTAAGCCTGAAGAATATAATTACGCAAATATTTCACATATTTCACAAAACTATAACAGGAAAACGAAATCAGTAAACGTACGTATGTAATGATAAATTGGCTGTATCAATCTTTGCTTCTTCCACTTCTTTCGTTGGTGATATTCTAGAAAATCTTTCAGAATAATCATTTTAAAATTTGAAACGTAGGAAACTCAGAGAGTTTCTCTGAAGTATGCTATAAATAACAACAGCTCGGTGTAACAGAAAAACTTGGACATACCGTTTTCCTATAAGTGAATCCACTTGTTGAGGTGAAAGGGCATTAGGGAGTCTTCCGCACGGCTTTCTTGGTGGTAGTGGCGGAGGAATACTACTAGGAGGTGGGAGCTTCACACCAAAGGAAATATTATCGCTCGGAATTTTCGTTAATGATGATGTTGGAGAACAAGGTGGTGGTGCTGACTCCGCATTCGGCGATCCATTGCTGTTATCGGAATTAGCGTTTTGCGAGAACGAGTCCGTTCCGCTGAAAATTATTTTACCAAACTTTCGGGCAAAACATAGCACTCTGTTAAGACTACTAAGGCCAGATTAGAACTATCTAAGAAGAAAAAATAAAATGTTACTTTTTGATCTCGCGATTTTATAGATTGCTATACTCGATTCTACAGAAGAAGGTTAAATATGATCGAAATCAAACTCTACCCACATTCATTTCACATTGATAATTTTACCTGCTTAGATTTTGATGGCTGGAAAAAGCCTTCGTGCTTATTGTATCAGCCGGATACACCAATTTCATCTTCGTATACGGAGCTTGTATAAGCAGATTACGTCCCCAGGATGCCAAAGAGGCACTTTCGCTAACTGAACCGGCGTCGTCATCGGTGTAACAGCTACCACCGCCAATGTTCAGCAAATTATGTCCTGATCCAAATTCATTTGTCATCCGATTCCGTAAAGCATCTAAACGGTATCGACGATCTGCTATTACACCATCCTGAAACAAGAGAATAGAAAACAAGATGACAGAAACAACAATGGATATAACTGATGAACTAAAATTTAGAATATAATCTTATAAAAAAAAAAAAAAAAAAAAAAAAAAAAAAAAAAAAAAAAAAAAAAAAAAGGAATCAAAATGAAATCCTTCTATATATAAACATGAGAGGATTATCTTTATTTTTTTAAGCTTTTGGCAAAAATCTTACAAAAGTTTATTTTTATAAAAAAATTTTGACTATCAAATGAATATAGGATGTTCATAAATAAGAAGTAAATATCATGAGGCGTATGTTTTGAATACTTTACTGATTATAATTACTCAAATGTTAAAATGAAATTTGGTCATAAAATGATAAATCATTTACTTTTGACGATGAAGAAATAGGTGAAGTTGGATTATTTCCAGACTGTGTTGTGTTGCTGATCAACGTATCACTTATTGCACTTTCGATCGATAAATCATCACGTCGTGACGGATGATTACTGCCACGGCCGGTACCAACTATTAATGTGGAACGTTCCGGAAGTGGTCGTAACTCATCTTGAGCATCTTCAAATTCTTCACTATTTGTCGTAGATGATGCGGCGTTTTCCTCTACTTCCGCAAATGACATTCATATACCGTCGTGTATGATACTTGTTGCAATCAATGAACGATCGTTAATTAGTCGCTCATCAGTTAACCTACCTAAATAAAGTATGAAGTTTAACAAAATTTTGTCAATACGTATCTAACATAAAGCACTGCAATTTTGATATTTTTAATAAATTTTACGACATATATGTTATTCTATATTATAATTTGTCAATCAATTTGCATTCCACTAATTCAATATTTGTAATTAAATTCCAACTTTATACAAATGAAAATAACAAAAAATTGTAATACTGCTTTCGTAATATCCAAAATTTCTCCCTCCACTAGAAAGATTACCTGCCAATAAAGTAAGTACAAAATACAAATTACACACTGAATCACGTCTAAAAACAAACATCACCTATGAAAATCATTCGTCTCAGGGTATTTATCCGTTCATAGCTTTACTTACCCATGAAAATTACCCGCAATACTTTGTCTAATTTTTGTGATAGCATTTCTTTTTTCAAAATAATTTTAGTAGAAATACCTGACAGGAAATGTTAATTGAAGTTTAGCCTGCAATATAGAATGGAAAACTAGAAGAGAACATATTTGAATGATAATGATAATGATAATCGTGTAATATGCGAAATGCTCATATCCGGATGATACTTGATGAAAATAAGTTCCTGCAACTCATCAAAGTTTATGTATTAATCTTAAGTTCAGAAATTTCCTCTAATTTTATCTTTTATCAAATTCATTTGATATTAGCAATCATTAATCATTAAGCAGTGAAAATAACTCGATATGTACTAGGTAGGAAATGTTGCAAATTTTGAGTGAAATTCAAAACAACCATATCACAGCAATTTCGTTCCTCTGTAGTGAGAGAGGCAGCATATGATAGAGATGACACTTTTTTTGCGTACAAAAGATCAATTTTTGATTTTCGATTTTAACACAACAGTGTCAAAAAATGCTCTAGCACTGTTGAAATGGAGTGATGTGAGATAAGCTTTCGATCTGATATTTCATTCTTTTCCTGCAGTTTTTAAAAATTAATTTCAGATCTTTTCTTCGATTCACTGCATTGCAAGATATTTTTGTAATGTTTTGAAGATGTTATACTAGAAGTTGCTTTCTCCCGCTGTCAGTAAAATCGAATTTTCTCCAAATTTATCACATTTCAGCATATATCAATGTACATATTACAAAATTTCGTGCTCGAAGTTAAATAAATCACAAAATGATATTTATATATTTTTTCTACTAAGTAGAAAGTTTGACATAAAATATTCCTAAAGGAAGAAATAAATAGTTAGGATTCGAAAAAGAACGCTATAACCGTCAATTTATCAGTGAGACAATTAAAAAATATTAAGAAATATCAAAAGTATTGCTATTTCAATCATTTACATGGCATGAATGAAAGACAAATTGACGATTACAGGCAACTTTCTGTGATTAAATGAATACAAAGAGGAAGGTATACTTACATATTTCCATATAATATATGGAAATTTTCAAAAACTGAACTATTATGTTAGTTGTACTAATTGGATAAAGCGATCTCAGTGAAATTATTACAAAGTATAAGTACAGAATATCAACCAAAAAAAGTTCTTGCCCGGACATATTAAAAAAAAAAAAAACTCATCTCATCTATCAGTGAGCAAATAGAGAAATACTTTCGTATTATGACGAAAAATCTTGAGGTATGTACTCAACAGTAAGTACAACCATGAAATCCTCATAAAGTGTACTTTTGAATTACAGCATTGGTGAATTCTAACGTTGATGAAGAACCGCCAAGATCGCGAGTTCTTATTTTGCCTTCGGCAACAACAGCCTCAGTAGCTGATCGGAGAGCAGCACCATATTTTTGCAATCGCAAATGTTGTAATAAATCCGCACAGCACAAAATCATTGCAGTTGGATTTGCAATTTGTCTGAAAGAAGCAATAAATCAGCGATATAAATGAAAATAATTCAACAAAATATATAAGCCAGTGGGAATTGAGCAAAGAAACTTGAAATATAGAAACAATAATTACTGAAATTTATAAATATTTGGAAAGAGCACTATTATAAATAAGACATAAAAAAAAAAAAAAAAACTCAAGAAGATTAATATAACACACTTTCCAAATGCCTGTTGATAGGCATGACGTGCACCTGGTTCGAAAATAACTGCATCCGATCCAATTGAACGTCCTGCAACAACTCCAGCACCACCAACTAAACCGGCTCCCAAATTACCAACAATATTACCATAGAGATTAGGCATAACCATCACATCAAACTGCTCAGGTCGGGATACCAATTGCATGCAACAATTATCGATAATCATTGATTCAAACTTGATATTTGGGTATAATTTTGAGACCTGAAATTCACTGTTATCAAGTTTGATATAATTTAAAATATACAAATTATGAGAATCTTACGCTTCATAAGCACTTGCAAATAATTAAGTTTTGTAAAAAAACTAACATCAGAACCTATGATTTCACTTAAAAGTTTTAAAATATTTTGAAAAAAAGTTCGGATTCCAAATAAACGGAAAAGCAGCTTTGTTAATACACAAATTTATCAAGAATAATTAAACTTTAACAGCGCTATTCAATTCTTTTTAATATTAGTTCAAGGAATATGAAAACAATACATAGGTAATACATAGCAATTTTATACTTAACAATTTAGTAAACTAACTTCTTCGCAAGTTCGCAGAAACAGTCCGTCACCCAATTTCATGATATTCGCTTTATGTATGGCTGTAACTTTATGTCGACCAAATTTCGTAGCATAATCAAAAGCGAATTTCGCTATCCGATACGACTTCTCTTCTGTGGAAATTTTGAGACATTCAACAACACCAGGTACCAGCTCGTGTTCTAGCGATGAATATTCTCCTTCTGTTTGCTCACGAATAATAACGAAGTCCAGATTTTTTTGATGACGTGTTTTGATTCCATTTAAACTCTGAAAGATTTGAAAAAAGAACTACATAAAAAGACGTTTTATGCAATTCTTAATATTAAAAAAAAAAAAGAAAAAAAAATATTAAAAAGATCAATTAGCATATCGTCGAGTAAATAATGAGACAACTAAAAGCAATGTAACTGCAATGTAATTAAAGATAAAAGCAATGTAACTGCAATGCAATTAAAGAACTATGTACTGATGTACTGACATTAAAACTTTATGAAAGACAGTAATAATAAATAAAGCATTCACTAAATAACTGATATCGTAGAACTCGAATAACTTTCAAAACTAAAACTAAAATGCAACGTTTTAAAATAATATTTGAAATATATACTAACTTTAATATTTGAAACACCGGCAAAAAGGTCAAGACCTTTTTTCAATGACCTATTGATATCTTCTCTATCGGGATCGCTAACTGTTTCTTCTGCTTCTTTAATTGCACCTTTCAGTGCCACATTATTATTTTTTCTAACAATTTTAATAACTTCCTCAAGGCTTGCTGAACATGAATGTTCAATTTCGCTGCAAAAGAAAGAAGATATGTTCCAAAAAAAGAATTGTACACATGTCCAATACATTCAAATAATAATATATATGGCAATAAGAGAAGCGAATACTTCGCCATTATTTGATCTCCTATTCCTGCATGTCTACAATAGTCATGAAAAGACTGTGTGGCATTAACTCCTACTTTTAGCCTTAATTTAAATCATAAATATTTATTAAATAATACTAGACATGAAAATTCACTGGAAAATTAATAAAGGATAAACGTCTTCTAAGTTAATTACAGTTACCCAAGAAAGGATAATCTAATGTGCTCAGCTTATCTCAATCAATTTAATAATAAATAATTAAAAATTAAAGCCATTAAAAACTATAATAAATTCTATCAGCATTAATTTTGTTAATTTTTCACCAATTCAAATGACGAGTAACCTCAAGAAAACTTCTTCAAATTCTAATGGTATTCCTGTGCTTTGCACAATTTTTTGCACTGCATGAGTAAGTTCTGCACCAACGCCATCACCTGGTATCACCGTTACTTTCATTTTTCGTTGCGGTCGAACTGTACTCTGAAAAGAAAACTCGAATGAATGAATGAATGAATGAACACATTACAATAACAAATAATTCAATAAGTAAAAAAGGGGAATAAATTTGAAGTTTATATTTTTATTGCATTTTTAGTGACTAATCTTTATGATGAAACATTGCATTCACTTCAACTTCTCTTCAGTAATAAAATTATAAATTTTAAACTTTAGCGAATAAATTAGAAACGGAATTTGAAGAAATTACTAGAAAAGAGTAAAAAGGATGTATAAATAGAATGTGGAAGGTACGAAATTTACAGCCAAATAATTCGATGCACTATAAAATGGTGCAAATTGCTGGATGTAGACAGGAATGGAATGGACAATGAAATCAGTAGTGTTTTCCCTAGATTGTTCACAATACAAAAAAAAATAGTGTAAAACTAAAAAAACGAGAAATTGAATAATGAAATACCAACCGCAATTCCTCTTACAGAAGCACATCTCTTTACTGTTTGCACTAATAAAAAGGCGAGTCGCTGATGAATTAATAACATTTAGCAACCTGAAAATTAACATCATTATTTTAATAGTTAATCAAGTTACACAAAAAATATAATACTCCATTCTGCTGTATCGTAATTATTTGTCCATCCGCCGTATAATCATATCATATGTATGGCAAAAGTCGATGATATAATGTAGAATCCGTAACGATTAAAATGAAAATGAAAAACAGAAAATTAGAACTTTATATCGCAAAAGAAATATTAGTAAACAAATAAATGACACATATATAATAAGCGAGAAAAAAGTGATTAATAGCCGATATATTATGAAAACTATACAAAATTTAGCATTATTTGCACAACAAGTACTATTTGCAAAGCATATGTAGCAAGACATATCATAATTTTCCACTTTTTGACTTGACAGAATTTTCTAGTGCTTGATTTGGATGTCTAAGTTTACTTTTGCAGAGATGAATCAATAGTCCTTTAAGGCTTTGAACCGCAGGTATCAATTACGCCCAGCTACATATAATAGCATATATTACTATGAGACTTTTTACTGATTTCTGCAAAATTCAGACTAAATGTAGAAAAACTCCTGCATTTGAAAAGTTTTATCAAAATAAAGGTAAATAAACGCTGGAGACTTCTCTGTTCTTCAATGCATAGTTTTTGTTGAACCAATGTATCTCCATGCTTTTAAATAAAGAAATATAAATGATTTTGTATATGAAAAGAAATGTCAGTACAAACACACTGTCTGGATTTATAAATAAAAATAGCTGGGACAAAAATTCATATAAAACAAACTGATTAGTGAAGGATAGAATCAGGATCATTTATGACAGTGAAAAGAGATAAAAGTTCAATTTAAGCTTAATTTATGTTTGCTTCTCTCCCCGAAACTTATATATCACACGAAAGAAACCGGATCCAGATATAATATATTCTTTTCAAAGGATAGTCTGCTCCAGCATGATTTCCTCATATCCCACAGGAGCATTATACGAAAACGATCGAAATGCAACGTCCAAAATTGCATTATCACCAACATAAATAATAGGATAAACCTGCAATACATCCAACATTTAAATTCTAATATGAAAAAAATTGAAACTGATATGGCTCCCACAGCAAATTCTTTCAACAGATCTTTCATTAAAAGATTATTCGGCGTAAATAATTTCCAATTAATAAATATGTGAAATACAATTCATTTCATCACAGAAGAGAATGCCGCCAAGTAATTTTGTGCAAACCGATAAACAGGTGTATATACATTTTTTATGGGTTGTATATACATTTCGTAAGAAAGAACTACTTACTTGCCCCTTAACGTTAGAGATTGATAATGGCAACAATACACCATTTTTGTAAAATTTAAGTTCCACATGATCAAATGCAACGCCCTGAAATGTCTTTATTAAACCTCGCAAAAAGAATAATTATTAAAAGTATAATTTAGTATTTCAACAAAAATAATGAAAAAAGACATACAATGCAGTCACTCTCATCGATCGGTTCATCTAGCTTCCCCAACACTTCACCATTAGCCACTACTTGCCCATCCTGTCTCAAAACCCAACAGTTTGCAGTTACTGGTACTGAATTCAAAATTGCAGACCGTGTCGCTAATCCAATGCCCCATATACCTAAAAAAAATTTATTTAATTTCTTTCGTAAGCTAAAATCCTTCACAAGAAAAACACAAACATGGATCAAAAACCTAAAATTAGTTCTCAGTTAAGTCTAGTTTGTAAAAAAATGCATTGTTTTTAACAAAAAACAAAAAGTAAGTGATTGTCCAAATGTGTTTGAAAATATGACAATCAGATATTAAATCTCATTTCAAATTCACAAAATCAAAAAACATATAAATTAATAGTTACTAAAAATGCTTCAAGTTTTACCTTAACTAGTGATTTTGTAAACTAAAAGTAGAAATAAGGAAGTCAAAAGCGCACATAGATTTTAAGAAACGAAGACAAGAAAACAAATGTCCAAAAAAAAAAAACATATCAGTCTGTTGAATAGTGACTTGGAAATAAGCTTTATTTTGCACGATCGGAGCCGTACTCAAAGCCGCACCTGAACCGCAAATTCGCTGACCGTTTTTCAGCAGTACCACATCATCACCTAAAGTTACAGCATATGAAAGGTTATAAAATTTAAAAATCATTTATCAGGCTTAGACATCGACCAAAAATTTCAGCACAAATAGAGATTTTAGAAGCTTAAAAAGAGATTAAAGTCGACGGTCATTTTGAAGAAAAATGCGTAGTGAAGACGTAAATCTATGGTTGCAACTTCAAACACAGCCATATTTCTTATGCCTTGGCTAATGTTCTTTGTCATAGTTGAACAATTCATCATCTACGTTTTTTTAAACTTTTTAAATCCATTATTATTTTGCATCGATGCATTCCTTTTTGTAATGCAAAGATATAGACATCAAAGATTAATACCTTATACCAATTAAATTCTGGTTAACGACATTAGTTTATGCAATTATAATAACTTGCTGCCAAAGCTTACTTAATCAAAGATTAATTAAATATTAGATAATAAGTAGTAACTTGGAGCTGCCCAATTCTTTACTAAAATGTTTCAGTCGATATTATTAATCTATCATGCATGCGAATAAATACCCTGTCATCAAATAACATTGAAGAGCACCACTTTTTGTATCAAAATTATGAATTTCAGAATTAACAAAATAATTTGAAATAACATTTTATTAAACTACAGCTGTCATTTCTTTGTTTGTAAATGTCTATGACAGACATTTACAAACAAACTAATATCTATTACTAATTAAATTCTGTTAATGATAATAATAATTACAAATACAATAACTTGCTGCCAAATGCTTTTATACAAAGAAAGCTATTTCGGTGAAGTCATACTGCATTTTACTTTAACACCGATTTAAAATAGTAAACATGTCATTTAACTGCTAATGTTCTTTAATTACTAACTGCAAGAATTAACTATTATCACTAGTAACTATCATTAGTGACTTCAATGACAAATATTTTGAATAACTAACTAACTAACAATAACAAAGAATACATGACTAACCCATGAACACTGTATCTAATCTCACAGAATGTTGTTCATTTTGAGAGTGTGAACTGTTTTGAGTTACTGAAAAACTTGGTCCTTGTACACATTCCAGACACATTCGTAATGGTGGAAAACAGCTATCAAACATTATCTGATTGTCAATGCTAAAATGAATTATTTTACAAATAACAATTAATAAAAGAATGCAAAAATTGTTACCAAAAAAATAGTTGAAAGCACATCAATTCATCATTGATTAATTAAAGCAATCACAGTTTCATTAATCAAATCATATTCGAAGCATTAATAATTAAACAGTTTTATCCAAAATTCATTCCAATGATTAAGTATTGGTACCAAAAAGCAGTGAAATACCATAAAAAAATGAAACATAAATGAAATATTGTCACCAAAAAGCTTTCTTTCTCTCTTTCAGAGAAAAACAAGAAAGGATCAAAATGAGGCAAATTACTTAGAAGACAGGAAGAAAGGCCAAGCCTGGTAGTTATTGATGCTAAAAGCCAAGTAATCTATTACTGGCCGTACTTGCAACAACAAGAATAATACATTATGAGAATGTATGGAGAGATGAAACATAGAGAGAATGTAAGAGAGTATTTGGATAAATCACGAAATAACAATAAATGATGGATAAGGGAGAAAATTTATGCGGAGAAATAGTACTGCTATAACAGAGAGTCATAAGAATGTGACTGTTTTCTTTCTTAACAAAATGCAAAAATAGGAATTGTATGCAATGACATCAGATAATAAATAATTAGTTAGTCACAGTAATGCTGGTCACTTCTTTCTTCCGTAATAGTATTTTCCGTAATGCCGATTTCTTCCGGAAATATTGAACTGCATAGATGTTCAGTGTAAGTAATTTCAATGAGAAATTTGTTCAGTAATATGTAAAAATACTATCAGTTGTTATGAACACAAAATATATCAAATAAAATTGCATCAATTTATAATACTAACATTTGTTTTAATTGAACATTTTTTTTTTAAAGTAATATAAAACTTTTTTTTTTTCAAATTGCATTTCATGTAAGCAATCATTTACTCAACACTCATATCTTCCCATTGTAGCTGAACTTATCTGCTTGTCAAGAAAATTTCAGTAATTAACAAAAGTGTATTATTTAATATTGGCTTTGTTGTAAACCAAATTTGCTTGAAATGTTGAAATATTGTAAAAGTTTTCTAATCCAGTAGTCATTCTTATGAGATTAGAAGCTAACAATATTAAAACCCATCTATTACTATATAAAGAGCAAAGATCATCTGATAGCTCTTTAATCATGTGCTTGTTGCAAGTCAATGCTCAATGGATAAGGATTTAAATCCTTTGTCTTTGATGAATTTTTTGTATTAGTAAGTTAGTGGTTTTGGGCTTCTCTCCTACATTCATTTAAATCTTTTAAGTTTTTTTTATCAATTCATTCATTTTCTTCATCTGATTCGTAGATACTCTATGAAATTATCAGTGTATGTCTATTTGTTGTGGTTTCTAGCGAATAAAATCGTTATAACAGATCTTTCAAGCGAATAAAATCGTTATAACAGATCTTTCAAGCGAATAAAATCGTTATAACAGATCTTTCAAGCGAATAAAATCGTTATAACAGATCTTTCAAGCGAATAAAATCGTTATAACAGATCTTTCAAGCGAATAAAATCGTTATAACAGATCTTTCAAGCGAATAAAATCGTTATAACAGATCTTTCAAGCGAATAAAATCGTTATAACAGATCTTTCAAGCGAATAAAATCGTTGTAATAGGCCTTTCAATCAACGCATTCGTCTATGCCAAATACAGTAACAATCAAGGAAAACACTTGAGCATACGAAAAAGTCCAATTCGACTCTAAACTACAACTATCAGATAATTTCACGATACTAGTAAAAAGCGATTTACTATTAGTAACTTGCGATTGCTATTAGTAACTTGCGATTACTATCAGTAACAAGGGATTTACTATCAGCAACTTGCGATTACTATCAGTAATAAGCGATTTACTATCAGTAACTTGCGGTTACTATCAGTAACAAGGGATTTACTATCAGCAACTTGCGATTACTATCAGTAAAAAGCGATTTACTATTAGTAACTTGCGATTGCTATTAGTAACTTGCGATTACTATCAGTAACAAGGGATTTACTATCAGCAACTTGCGATTACTATCAGTAATAAGCGATTTACTATCAGTAACTTGCGGTTACTATCAGTAACAAGGGATTTACTATCAGCAACTTGCGATTACTATCAGTAATAAGCGATTTACTATCAGTAACTTGCGGTTACTATCAGTAACAAGGGATTTACTATCAGCAACTTGCGATTACTATCAGTAATAAGCGATTTACTATCAGTAACTTGCGGTTACTATCAGTAACAAGGGATTTACTATCAGCAACTTGCGATTACTATCAGTAATAAGCGATTTACTATCAGTAACTTGCGGTTACTATCAGTAACAAGGGATTTACTATCAGCAGCTTGCGATTACTATCAGTAATAAGCGATTTACTATCAGTAACTTGCGGTTACTATCAGTAACAAGGGATTTACTATCAGCAACTTGCGATTACTATCAGTAATAAGCGATTTACTATCAGTAACTTGCGGTTACTATCAGTAACAAGGGATTTACTATCAGCAACTTGCGATTACTATCAGTAATAAGCGATTTACTATCAGTAACTTGCGGTTACTATCAGTAACAAGGGATTTACTATCAGCAACTTGCGATTACTATCAGTAATAAGCGATTTACTATCAGTAACTTGCGGTTACTATCAGTAACAAGGGATTTACTATCAGCAACTTGCGATTACTATCAGTAATAAGCGATTTACTATCAGTAACTTGCGGTTACTATCAGTAACAAGGGATTTACTATCAGCAACTTGCGATTACTATCAGTAATAAGCGATTTACTATCAGTAACTTGCGGTTACTATCAGTAACAAGGGATTTACTATCAGTAACTTGCGGTTACTATCAGTAACAAGGGATTTACTATCAGCAACTTGCGATTACTATCAGTAATAAGCGATTTACTATCAGTAACTTGCGGTTACTATCAGTAACAAGAGATTTACTATCAGCAACTTGCGATTACTATCAGTAATAAGCGATTTACTATCAGTAACTTGCGGTTACTATCAGTAACAAGAGATTTACTATCAGCAACTTGCGATTACTATCAGTAACTTGCGGTTACTATCAGTAACAAGGGATTTACTATCAGCAACTTGCGATTACTATCAGTAATAAGCGATTTACTATCAGTAACTTGCGGTTACTATCAGTAACAAGGGATTTACTATCAGCAACTTGCGATTACTATCAGTAACAAGGGATTTACTATCAGTAACTTGCGGTTACTATCAGTAATTTGCGATTACTATCAGTAACAAGGGATTTACTATCAGTAATTTGCGATTACTATCAGTAACAAGGGATTTACTATCAGTAATTTGCGATTACTATCAGTAACAAGGGATTTACTATCAGTAATTTGCGATTACTATCAGTAACAAGGGATTTACTATCAGTAATTTGCGATTACTATCAGTAACAAGGGATTTACTATCAGTAATTTGCGATTACTATCAGTAACAAGGGATTTACTATCAGTAATTTGCGATTACTGTCAGTAACTTGCGTTTTACTGCCAATAACATGCGATAGCATGTTAATAATATATCCTTTTTCTACAGCTATTTTTTCATCAACAGTAAAATTTATGTACATCGACCGATGACAGTATGAATTCTAAAAATTATGTTTAAATATTTGTTCAAATTTTGTCCTTCCTTAAGAATTAGGGAAGAAGTGATTTTTGAAGCCTGCAACATATCATAGCTTAGTTAACACCAGATTATTCTTGACGATTACAATGACAATTTATTTGTTGTAGAATTTTTTGCATCTTGAATTGCTTATGATTTTATTAAACGAAAGAAAACCATAATCACATGGAAATATTGTAAAGGTAACCAAGAAAATAATTAATTATACAATTTCAAAACTATTAAAGAAAGAATTATATCAATTAGTTAGCTTACCTTATTGTTATACATTGTTAATTAGTTAAACTTATTGTTATGTGTGTTAGTTTAACTTATTGATCACAACATCATCTCCATAAAATTAACCACAGTATCATTTCGATAAAGCAAAATCATGTAATTTTCCATATATATAACCTAAATGATACTTCAATATTTGTTGAATTAATTTCAAGAATTGATTACAGAATCAAAATGTTGTAAACAATATATTTAATTTTGCCATCCATCTCACATGCATTTCATTTTCTTTGTCCTGTGACATGAATATGACGTCAATTCCCAATTTGTTTACTTTGTTACACATAGTGATTATATTTCATATTAAAATTGATGAAATTGATTTTTTCTTTTTTTTTACTGAAATAAATTAAAAAATAAATTATATATTCTGGAATATGATAGAGCGAATAATGATATTGATTTTTAAGTAATTCAAGGGTAAATATTTGTTAGCATAAAATATTTTCACAAAATGTCTTCATAAACCAAATATTGTATCGTTTTCATTACACTCTGCTTTTTTTTTTTTTGATAAATTCTTATAAACGTTTAAATTTTTAGTCATTTTTGTTTTTTAGACTTTTTGAAGATATATTTTTTGTCGTTATCGATGGTATCGGTGCTCCATTCAAATACATTAGAAATTTCATGATATAAAGTTGTAGGCGTAATGAAAGCAATGAATATGGATGAAATCTGCAAGAGGAAAATAATTAAAAACGATCATTTAATGATTTTAATGATCGATTGAATTTCATTTCATTTTCTAGCACATTTGTTATTTATACTATAAAATCATATTATTATTTCTTTTTTTTTTTTCTTTTGTTCTATTTTTTCTCAATGTAAATGCAATTATTACAGGAATAACACATCCCAGCCAATACGATACAAAAGATTTGGTCGTTTTGCAACGATTGCTTCATAATATGAATCAATAACCAATGTTGTATCATGTTCCACAATATTCTGTTGCAGTTCTCTTATAAATTTTCTTACTAAATATTAGTAAATTAGTAAGTATGTAAATGAGTAATGGTAAATAAAATTAGTAAGTATATAGTGAATTATAATAGTCATAAGTAGTATAACTTATATATTCATAAGTTTATAAGTAGTATAACTTATATATTCATAAGTTTATAAGTAGTATAACTTATATATTCATAAGTTTATAAGTAGTATAACTTATATATTCATAAGTTTATAAGTAGTATAACTTATATATTCATAAGTTTATAAGTAGTATAACTTATATATTGATAAGATTCGTGAAAGTTTGTATAAAATTTATTACGAACTTTTTACCTTTCTCGTTATAATTATGTCCAAATTCATCACGTAATTTTTGTGATGCTCGATGCCATACTTCATCCGCCATTTTTATTAATCTCTCGGAACTTTGCATACCAGTTTCAAAAGATCCTGGTATAATTTCTATCACATCTATTCCATATGGTTGCAATTCATGCCTTCAATTCATTTTCTTTTTGGACATTTTCAGATTTCACTTAAAAATTTCAAGGCCAAGTCAAATTTTAAAAAAAAAAAAAAAAAAAAAAACATATAAAAATAAGTAATTTAATACCTAATAATGTTACAATAGGCTTGAATGGCAAACTTTGAGCAAGAATAGGGACCATTGCCTGCTGCTGGAAATAGTGTGGTAGCACTACTGCATATCACTATTCGACCTCTAAGAGTTGTTTTTTTTTTTTAAAAAAAAAAAAAAGCAAAAAAAAAAGCGTTGAAATAAGTAAGTCATTGTTGTATGAGACTTGAATGATAAACTTTGAGGAATGATAAGAATTAGAAAGAAAACAAGAATGAAGTGAGATTTAGGGTATTTAGTAATATTAATCTTCAGCAATGTGAAATTCTGCTTCGAAAACAAAATTAAAAGGAGAATTGCACGAAAAGATTGATTCTATAATTGTAAGACATAATTATGGCTTATCTTCTGAGACCAAACAATTAGTTTTAAAAAAGCTTATTAAATGTGCAAACTGATTGGATTCCTCACAATCTCGAAATTATTCATGAAATTCTGAAAGTTCAAGAATTATCTTTAAGTATGAGCTGAAACCGCAATTAATATTGCAATACTGGAAAATGTTATTAATTCCACAATTGTTGTTCGACGGTTCGTCAAGCAAGCAAATATTATAAATATTATTCGAACCTGGACTTTTTGATAAGATCACGAAACGTTTGCGTTACTCGAATTACGCCGCACGTATTCACTTCCCACACGTCTTTATAGTCGTCCACGGTCAAAAAGTCATCGTAGAAGATATTGCCCCGCACTCCAGCGTTGTTGATTAGAGCGTGAAAGACTGAAAAAGAATATTTTCAATTTCAGTGCTGAGCAATCATTTCATTGGAATTAATCCGCCGTACAATATCAAAGAATCATTGAATTTTGATTAGTGTATTTCTTGAATAACTATAGAATCATTCAGACAAACAGTTACACATTTCAAAGATGCGGACCGAGATTTTTTTCTCTCAAAACAGTGTCTACGATTTCTCGAGATTTTCGGACACTCTCGTCATCGGTTACATCCATTTGGAATGCATACAGTCGACCTTGACTGATTGAGCTGTAGCTATCTTCCAATTCTTTTACACTCTGTAAACTTCATCGGAACATATGGACAAATCAATTTCACAAATTGTTTTCTACAATCAAAAAAAAAAAAAAAAAAAATTAAATGAAATTAATTTTAGATAATTTAGAAGTGTACAATGGCGCGGCGACATCCTGCAAAAACTGTTAACCCATTCTGAAGACATCGTTTCACTAAATCTCTGCCAAATCCTGCAAATTCATTTCTCTTCGAAATCTCTTCCAAATCTTTTCTAGATTACTTATAAACAAAAATTCAAACCCCCACCACAAAAATCCTTACCGTTTCCGCATCCAGTGATCAGTACCGCCTTTTTGTCAATTTCACCAATTGTCAATTTACGGCCCAATAATCCATAAATGAAATACAGCAGTGACAGTACAATAAATAATATTACCAGCAAAAACATTTTTCATTAGTGTGACGAGAAATTGTCTCAGATAAAATTGCTTTTGCTTCCCTTAAATATGTTTTCACTGCAAAATGGTCAAATAGTAAGGCACAAATTTGAAAATATTCGTTGGTACAAAGTTATACAAATAACAGTGCGCAATTGATTCTTCCAGAAAAATCGACGTGTGCGAACCAAAGATTCAATGCAAAGGACAATACGACCCAACGTTATGTGTTGGCCATCGCAAGGATTTCGACGAAGAAAAACTGAACGAAAAAAGTGGATTCGATAATTATAGCTGCTGATTCAGTAATTATACGGAAGAATCAACGAGCAAAGAGATAAAATCAGTTCAAAGTTTTTTTAATTCGATCCTTATAAAAAGATTTCATTGATGACTCAATCACTCGGTTACTTAATCATTTCATTACTCGATCACTTCTTCATTCGGCCATTCCATTAACAATCCGTTATTCATAATACTCGATCGCTTGATTCAATCACTAAATAACTCGATCACTTCAACACTCAGTTACCGATTACTCAGTCACTCGACACTCGATCGTTCAATCATTCGATCACTCGATCATTCGATCATCCGATCACTCGATCATTCAGTCACTCGATCGTTCGATCATTCAGCCACTCGATCGTTCAGTCATTCGATCACCCGATCGCTCGATCATTCGATCACTCGCTCGTTCGATCGTTCGCTCATTCAGTCACTCGATCGTTCAATCATTCCATCACTCGGTCAGTCGATCACTCGATCATTCGATCACTCGATCGTTCGGTCAGCTGATCACTCGATCGTTCGATCATTCAGTCACTCGATCGTTCAGTCATTCGATCACCCGATCGCTCGATTATTCAGTCACTCGATCGTTCGATCATTCAGTCACTCGATCGTTCAATCATTCGATCACTCGGTCAGTCGATCACTCGATCATTCGATCACTCGATCGTTCGATCATTCAGTCACTCGATCGTTCAATCATTCGATCACTCGGTCAGTCGATCACTCGATCATTCGATCATTCGATCACTCGGTCAGTCGATCACTCGATCATTCGATCGTTCGGTCAGTCGATCACTCGATCATTCGATCGTTCCATCATTCAGTCATTCGATCACCCGATCGCTCGATCACTCGATCGTTCGATCATTCGATCACTCGATCGTTCGATCACTCGATCATTCAATCATTCGATCGTTCGATCATTCAGTCACTCGATCGTTCAATCATTCGATCACTCGATCATTCGATCACTCGATCACTCGATCGTTCGATTATTCAGTCACTCGATCGTTCGATCATTCAGTCACTCGATCGTTCAATCATTCGATCACTCGATGATTCGATCACTCGATCATTCGATCACTCGATCGTTCGATCACTCGATCATTCGATCGTTCGATCATTCAGTCACTCGATCGTTCAGTCATTCGATCACCCGATCGCTTGATCATTCGATCACTCTGTCAGTCGATCATTCGATCACTCGATCGTTCGATCATTCAGTCACCCGATCGTTCAGTCATTCGACCACCTGATCGCTCGATCATTCGATCACTCGGTCGTTCGATCGTTCGCTCATTCAGTCACTCGATCACTCGATCGTTCGGTCAGTCGATCACTCGATCATTCGATCATTCAGTCACTCGATCACTCGATCGTTCGGTCAGTTGATCACTCGATCGTTTGATCATTCAGTCACTCGATCGTTCAGTCATTCGATCACCCAATCGCTCGATCACTCGATCGTTCGATCATTCAGTCACCCGATCGCTCGGTCGTTCGGTCATCCGATCATTCGATCATTCGATCGTCCGATCACTCGATCATTCAATCACTCGATCGTCCGATCACTCGATCATTCGATCGTCCGATCACTCGATCATTTGATCGTTCGTTCACTCGATCGCTGGATCATTCGATCACTCCATCGTTCGATCGCTCGGTCGTTCGGTCATTCGATCACCGATTGTTCGATCACTCGTTCATTTGGTGACTCTAATTTCAATTCTGCTAATGATGTCAAAGTGAAAGAACTGAAACAAAAATGGTTCGACAATAAGAAACAATTGCATTTTTTAAAGTTTTCAATTCGTTCGAGATTTTTTAAAGTTGAAGGAAGAAAGAAGCTGAAATGGATGGGAACACAAAAAAGCGGAAAAGGCGTGTATGAAGAAGCTAAAACGAATAGCAAAGTTTCATTCAGAAAATTCGGCATTCATTCAGCATTCTTAAAAAGCGCGAAGTGAACTGAATTTTTTGCAAGGCAAAAAACAATTGGACAATTCAACCAACACGGGTTGCACTTCATCAGCAAAAAATTATATTTCTCAAATAACAGTTATTGGTGACAAGAGTAAGGTAAGAGTAGAAGGAAAGGTTTTATGGTATAAATAAGATATAATGCTAATAATTATGAAAAGAGGGAAAGATTGTGTGTGATGATTAGGAATTGTTTTCGTTAAAGAAAAACTTTTGAGAACTAAGCATCAACAAGTTTATTATTTCTTAACTGTGTTGCTGTAGAAGAAGAGCTATCTGAAGCAAATGTGAATTCAACACAGAGTAAAATAATGAAGGATAACTGTTCATTAATTGCAGATCCTTCAGAGAATCCTGTAAAAGCACCATTTTTCAAGAACTGCTGACAATATTACAAAAAAAAAAAAAAAACAAAAATAATTACATCATCATGCTAGATAGAGTATCTAGAAGTAAACAGAATAGTTCTAGAAAAATTGCATTCAAAGTATGTCAAAAGTAGAAGATAATGAACATGACTCCACCTGAAGAAGTTTGCCGTTTCCGGTTGGAAATGTTAGCGATACCGAAAAAATATAATTAGCTATATATAAGACTATTAATAGGGTCAAGTAAAGAGTAGATAGTCTGTGATGCGACGAACCAAGATAACATCTACGACACCAACAAACGCTACTCCAATAAAAATCTTGAGTTTCTCGAAAAAAAAAAAAAAGAAATGAAATAGATTAGAGATCAGTTAATCAACGTAATGCAAAAGAACGTATGATGAAGAGTACATAGATGAGAAGGACCCTAAAGGGTTTAAAAGAAGTGGGTTGACAAATTGAGTTAAGCAGTGCAATTTGACAATTGGACAATTCAACCGACACGGCTTGCAACTTCATCAGAAACAACAGTTCAACAGACGATCGATTGTAGTGTGAAAGTGAAACATGGTAGCAGCAATGGTGAAATGAAAGTACGACAATTTACTGAACATTTAGTGGACTATTGATAAAATTTAATTATTATTTTGTTCATTTCTTATATACGTATGATATCGTATAAAAACGATAAAGCTATTATCAAGTTTAAGTGATTTGTTGAATAAATAAGTAATACATTGTCTTTTTCAATACATATATCACAATCCTTCAAGTTAATCTTGCAGAAAAAAAAAAAAGAAAACCAAATTCTACGCTAATCTTTATTATCTCCATCACCACAAGATCGTAATCTTTGATGGCTTAAATACTGGACAGGTAACATTTCAAAAAAGACACTCAAAACTCTAAAGCTTGGAAAGATTTACTAGGCGAACATTTTTTTTTTTTTTTTTTCATGATTACTAATATTATTTTTCAATAGAAAGATTTATGCAATGCATATTTAATCTTACTTTCAGGTTAAACTTAAAACAGGTGACATGAATTTCAAGGATGAATCTTAAAAATCTTTGAAATGAGAATTAATAAGAGATAACATCCAGATTAATCTTCAAATTAGATTTGCATAGATTTGCTTATCCAGCAATTCTCTACAGAATGTCTAAATGATTCACTACTGTAGAAGTAAAGCAGTCCAGTGAAAATATATTCAATTTCAGATGATTGGAAATACATACCAAAACTGTATGCTACTTTACTCTTCCAGACCATGTCATCCTCGTTGTCCGCACAGAAGCGCACAACTTTCTGCTTTTGCGCAAATTGTAGGACTCTTTGGATTATATCACAGTATACCTTAATCATTCAATTTTCTTTTTTTTCCTATCCAAACTTCAAAATAGTTTCTTCAATTCGGTTATAATTATCATACAGTTACCAACAACCTACCACAAAGAATAAACCTTTGTAGCAATTTTTTCTCGTGAAACGATGACAAATCAAAAAAAAAAAAACTTTCACGATAGATTTCTTTAAAATTATCCTCTTTTTGACCTTTTTAATGTTCCTATGCACAATAAGTTGTATTTTTTTTTAGTTTCTCCGACAATAATGATGTTTACACATCACACACACACACACATAAACATTCATAAATACACAAAAATGGTTATAAACATTTGTTTTTTTCACGGATCATTCTCATTAAGTGATGAATCTGCTAGAATTTTCCTTTGTGAAAAAAATAAATTTAGAAACAGAGGCAATATCTGCTTGTTTTCATAAAATAAAATCGAACTACACTTCTGCCTACGTTTATTGATGGAATTTAAATTAGTAGAGACAGTGACTTTGTACAAAATAATTACAATCGTCAAGTAATTTAATACAATTAAATTGTTGTAGAGAATTGAAATGGAAATGTAGTAGGAGAAAGTAAGTATTAGAAGGACAATTATAATGTTTTCTATACTTCTTGTCCAATTCAGCGATGAATTTCTTAAAGATTTCAATTTCATGACAATAAAATTTCACTGAAAAAGTTTTTAATGACATCAAATTGCTATGAAAAATTCATTTATATTTCCTCATTCACTTACTCTGAAGAGTTCAAATTTTTTTATTTTTCGTAGTAATTTTAAAATTATTTTCTACTCTGTACGTAGCGCTTTTGTCCTTTGACAGATCAAATATATAAACAGAACTTTGACACTTTCGTCGCAAACACTTTGGTTTTTTCCTTCGTTCAGAATTTCTGTCATTTATTTTCCATAAGACACAATGAAATGTGAAACATAACGAAAATTAAATTTTATTCAATAAATAGCGCAAAAAAATACAAAGACAATCTTTCTTTTCTAGGAACTGAAATTTATACATTACACATGGAACAACGCCAAAATTTTAATTAAAAAAATGAATTCTGTAGTCGCAAATCATTTCGGCTTAAGCATTTCCGTTGTATATTTATAAGTTTGTCAGTACACAACAGAATACTTTTCCTGTTGTAATGGTGTTTTTTCAATTCATTTATATTTCTATTTTTTCAATTCATCCATTTTCCCTTTTCCAATTCATTTATATTTCTATTTTTTCAATTCATCCATATTCTCTTTTCCAATTCATTTATATTTCTATTTTTTCAATTCATCCATTTTCTCTTTTCCAATTCATTTATATTTCTATTTTTTCAATTCATCCATATTCTCTTTTCCAATTCATTTATATTTCTATTTTTTCAATTCATCCATATTCTCTTTTCCAATTCATTTACATTCTGCAAATAAGGTAAAGCCGATGGGAGCATTTCACGGAAGTAACAAAAGTATTTCTAAATTTTCTTTTATTGACTCTCTGCCACTTCGCACTTTCCTGTTTTTCTGCTCTCAGTGATATTTTGCATTTCAAATTAGCTGATGAAATGCTAATTTGTATTCAAGAAATTATTTTATAATAGGCAGCCTACACTTTAAAACTGGCATCCTTTTTTAATAACAAATTTTCAGGCATATTAATTATTTTTTGAAATTATTTTCTACCAGAAATCTCCTGTCAATTCCACCAATAATCTGTAAGTAACATACAGCAATGGTAGTACAGTAAATAAGATTACCAGTAAAAACATCTTGAGAGACAAAAATTATTGGGATCGAATAAAATTAGAAGGGCCTTAAGAGATGAAAAAGATATCTTTGACTGAATGTGAAATTACTTTTGCTTTTTATTCTTTAGAGGTTTTCACTTCTCAACACAAAATGGTCAAGAAGTAAGTTATATTGAATTGAGCCTGGAGAAAAAGAGAAAATGTTTGAAACTGTTGGCAGTAAGCAAAGAAGCGCAAATGGCAATACGCATTTGAAGTTTTGATGAACGAATAGGGGAAAGGGCCGAGCGAATCGAAAACTGGAAGTCAACCGGTCGTTCCCTATTTTTTACTTTTTTACTCCTTCAATACTTTTTTTTCCATTGATGATGAGTAAATACCATCTAAAAACGCTGTCAAAATTCAAAGAATATTTATATCAAAGTGATGAAAGAGTAATTATTACTTTAATTCTTGTCGAATTAAATTTTAAACATTAAATTAAACATTTCGAAAATCTAACTGACACCATTTTTAATTAAAGTACATGCTTGCATTTCTTTAATGGTTTTTGTTGTCTTACAGGAAAAGCTTAAGACAACAGATTCCAAAGATACAAATCTTTAATTAATCTCTTCTTAAATTTCAATTAATCTAATGAATAAATATTAAACTATAGATATTAATTAAAAGGATATTAATGCAACTCTCTGAACACAAGTATTATAGTCTCTGAACGTATGTGTATATAATTGCTAGCTATCTTCGACAATTCAAAATCATTTCAAACTTAAAAATCGTTGTTTATAAAAACATGCAATAAAAGTACGTACAAATACCGTCCACATAGCAATTTCAATTGCTGAGGAATTTATTCTGACGTAAAATAAATTTGACAACAAAAAATCATTGCAAGTTTTTCATTATTTTTGTTTTTAGTATAGAAAAAGACACTAGAAAGACTTTGCAAACAGTATTCAACAAAAAAGGAATAAAAACAAAAACGAAAAGATTTAATTTTCAGTGCATTTGGCGTTGCTCCACCCAAATTTTTTTTACTAAAATGTTAAATGCGTACTGTTCCTTCAACGTCCACTGTATGAGTAAAATCATTGTCCCATCAGTTCACCCGTATTAACTCATTGAAACACTTTAATGATAGGAATGATCCAGTAATTGAGTAGTGATTAAGTGACTGAGTGACCCGGATGATTGAGCGATCCGGAGGACGAGTGGCTGAATAATCAAACTATCGAATGACTGAGTAATCAGCAACCAAGTGTTGAATAGCCAATTAACCCAGTGAACGAATGATCAAATAATCAAATGATTGAGTCGAGTGATCAGCAATCAAGTGATCGAGCGATCGAGTGTCGAGTAAGTGAGTAATCGAGTGTTGAAGTAGTCGAATGTCGAGTGGCCGAATGAAGAAGTGATCGAGTAATGAAATGATTAAGTAACCGAGTGATTGAGTCATCAATGAAATCTTTTTATAAGGATCGAATTAAAAAAACTTTGAACTGATTTTATCTCTTTGCTCGTTGATTCTTCCGTATAATTACTGAATCAGCAGCTATAATTATCGAATCCACTTTTTTCGTTCAGTTTTTCTTCGTCGAAATCCTTGCGATGGCCAACACATAACGTTGGGTCGTATTGTCCTTTGCATTGAATCTTTGGTTCGCACACGTCGATTTTTCTGGACGAATCAATTGCGCACTGTTATTTGTATAACTTTGTACCAACGAATATTTTCAAATTTGTGCCTTACTATTTGACCATTTTGCAGTGAAAACATATTTAAGGGAAGCAAAAGCAATTTTATCTGAGACAATTTCTCGTCACACTAATGAAAGATGTTTTTGCTGGTAATATTATTTATTGTACTGTCACTGCTGTATTTCATTTATGGATTATTGGGCCGTAAATTGACAATTGATGAAATTGACAAAAAGGCGGTACTGATCACTGGATGCGGAAACGGTAAGGATTTTTGTAGTGGAGGAAATGATTCAGACCGCTGGTTGGAAATTTTCGTTTATAAATGATTTAGAAAAGATTTGGAAGAGATTTCGAAGAGAAATGAATTTGCAGGATTTGGCAGAGATTTAGTGAAACGATGTCTTCAGAATGGGTTAACAGTTTTTGCAGGATGTCGCCGCGCCATTGTACACTTCTAAATTATCTAAAATTAATTTCATTTAATTTTTTTTTTTGATTGTAGAAAACAATTTGTGAAATTGATTTGTCCATATGTTCCGATGAAGTTTACAGAGTGTAAAAGAATTGGAAGATAGCTACAGCTCAATCAGTCAAGGTCGACTGTATGCATTCCAAATGGATGTAACCGATGACGAGAGTGTCCGAAAATCTCGAGAAATCGTAGACACTGTTTTGAGAGAAAAAAATCTCGGTCCGCATCTTTGAAATGTGTAACTGTTTGTCTGAATGATTCTATAGTTATTCAAGAAATACACTAATCAAAATTCAATGATTCTTTGGTATTGTACGGCGGATTAATTCCAATGAAATGATTGCTCAGCACTGAAATTGAAAATATTCTTTTTCAGTCTTTCACGCTCTAATCAACAACGCTGGAGTGCGGGGCAATATCTTCTACGATGACTTTTTGACCGTGGACGACTATAAAGACGTGTGGGAAGTGAATACGTGCGGCGTAATTCGAGTAACGCAAACGTTTCGTGATCTTATCAAAAAGTCCAGGTTCGAATAATATTTATAATATTTGCTTGCTTGACGAACCGTCGAACAACAATTGTGGAATTAATAACAATTTCCAGTATTGCAATATTAATTGCGGTTTCAGCTCATACTTAAAGATAATTCTTGAACTTTCAGAATTTCATGAATGATTTCGAGAAAATTTATCCATTGTGAGAAATTCAGCTAGTTTGCACATTTAATAAGCTTTTTTAAACTAATTGTTTTGTATTTATCCTAATTATGATGTAAATGTTCCCGTTCAATATTCTCTTTAATTTTACCTTCACATTACTGAACGAATTATTAACTGTTCTAAATTTTGTTTTATCCTTTCCCTTTTCTGCAAAGCAAATCTAGAGGTCGAATAGTAATGTGCTCAAGTAGTGTGACACTCGTTTGTGCACCTGGTTTTGGTCCTTATTGCTCATCAAAGTGTGCTCTTCAAGGTTACACTGACGTTATCAGGTATGAAATTATTGATTTATTGGGCTTATATACCTTTTCAGAATCCTTTGTAGCGATAAGAATAACTTGGCATATTGATGTGAAAAATAAATAAATTCTATCCTTAATAGGTAAATATCTATAAATTAATTGACTTCAAGGCATGAACTTGGATCATATGGAGTACAGGTGATAACAATATCTCCGGGCTCATTTTTGACCGGAATGCAAGAAATTCAGGGTTTAAAAAGTATGATCGATACAGTTTGGTATCGATCATCAGAAGATCTCCTCGATGAATACGGCCACAACTATTTGACGAAAGGTATTCATTTCTGCTATAATAAAAGTGAAACTTGCAAAAGTGCATGTGCATGTTGTTTTATAAAACAGAAATGTATGTACAAACAACCGGAATTTATGCAGATAGCATTACAGGAATGCTGAACGTTACAGGATATTTACATTAATCAGAATGTAAATAAGAATGATTAAATAATTAAAGAAGTGAATAAACGAATAATTCAAAATTAAGTGAGAATAATTTTAACAAAATAACTGAAAATGATTTTTAAGTTATACTAATTTTTATTAAAAAGATTTATCCATATGTGTTTTAGCAAAAGTATTTGTACATAATCTTCATGCACAAATATTATCAAAAGATACAACATGGGTAATTAATTCTTATTATGAAGCTATTGTTGCAAGACGTCCAAAACTATCTAACATTATTGGTTGGGATGCAATACTTCTGTGAGTTTCACATTTTAGTGAAATGCAAAGTGTTACAAAATTAATTAGATTTGATCTAAAATTTTATTGACAGAATGTAGAAAATAAAATGAATACTTTCGGTTACACTTCCAAATTTTAATTTCATTTAACTCAACATTTAACATTTTGATTTTTACTACTTTTACTACTTTCTAGTTTTTATCCAGTTTCATGGCTTCCGCCATTTATGCAACTGCAAATCGTGAAATTCATTCTTTATCTGCTCGACGCACCAATACCAGTAGCAACAATGAGAAAGAAAAAAAGTTTGAAAAGCAATTGAATTTTGATATCGATGAAAAGAAGCACATTTATAGGATAATTCTGCATTTCTTTCTATGCTAATTTAAAATTATTGTTAATGAAATCTGTTCTAAATGATGCTATAGAATATTGAATTCTTTATAAATTATACTGATAAAGTGAAAATGAGGCTTGAGAAAATATGTTTATGTGAAGTATATTTTCAAAAAATTTCTTTCAAAATAACTTTCAAATGATCAAAATTTTAACGGAACAAAAAAAAAAAAGAAAAAAAACCGAAAGCTTTCCGAGACCAAAAGTAAAATGTTTCTCCAAGATACTTGAAATAATTTGATGGGATAAAATTTTAGAGAACGATGAATAATTGGAAATTTTCCACAAATAAATCGCAAAATTGATGTCATCGAGTTAATGCGATTGCTGTTAATTCAATGGAACAAATACAAATTAACATTTTTAGTCATATCCTAAAGATAATCTTTTCAGCAAATACATTTTATTTTGGATTAGCTTTAAGAATGAAAATTTTTAAAGGGATCTACTCACTTTTGTTGTAAAAGCATTGATATCTGGCGGAATAGACAAGTTATTTTGTAAAGTACTAACTCGAGGGAAGATCATATTAAATGATATATGATAGGGATAGTTCACTCTCATAAGTGACTCTGTAAACAATAATTTTGTTTTTTTTTTTCTTTCTTTTCTGAATAATTGTTGTTTATGAGTGCTGTAAAAATAAATTTCGAATTTTTTTCTTATTGCCCTATTTCCTTGCGAAACAAAGTAGTTTCCTTTTCTTGATAGTTCAGATCGTTGACTTCTTTATCTTCGATACTGGTAGATTCTCGAATCTGTATTGGTTCCGTTCTGTGTACGTGTACTGTGGGAGCCTCCGTGAAATACGTGAGATACTTTCAAACCTCAAACATGGGTAATTAAACCATAGATTAACATCAAAAATTGTGCAACATTACAATAACGAATTGGTGCATAAAAAACAAATATTATTTACAAAATATTTAAAGTTATAAGCAAGCTAGACACCTCGCAACCGAGCCATACCAAACAAAGAACTATAATGATTCCTTACGGAAGAAAGGAGGGATTTTATGGGTGCTAAGGTTACAGAGCAGATTAAAACAATAGTCTTTGTTCATTACGTTTTGCCATTGTGGCGACAAATATCTTTGTTAGTCTATTGATAATTTGTTTGTTATCAAACTTGACGCCCGAGAAAATGATACTTCCAAGATAGGTAAATAACTGAAATCACGAATTTCAATTTCGAATGGCAAATTCAGAGTAAAGCATATCAGAATTCACCAAATGCAACATTTTCTGCAACACAAAGAATAGACAAGGAACAATGAGAAATAAAAAGTTTGCCATGTGTCATCATTTTTGGAATAGTAATTATCAAGCTTTAAAGTATATAAACAACTAGTTTATAAGCAGTAACTAAATTAGTGGTGAGGAAAATAAATCGAAGGAATTTTACCACAAGGAAAAAGAGAAAATAAGGCGTTTGGTGGCAGAAGAGAATTTGATAGCCACAATATCATAATATTTGTATTAATATAATGAAAATATACTGCAAAATCAAGATATTATTATTATTATTAGCGTTGATCTTTACTCCAAAATAATCATTATCATCATCATCACTCATCATACATTAGCTAGGCAAGTACTCAACATGTGGTAATCATAAATAGGCAAATGTAATCATGACTAAACTTATGGTAATCAGAAGTAGGCAAGCATAATCATGAATAAACATATGGTTCAATCATGCGTGATCATTATTAAGCATATGATAATGATAACTAGACGCATGCAATCATGATTAAGCATATGATAATCATAACTAGACGTATGCAATCATGATTAAGCATATGATAATGATAACTAGACGTATGCAATCATGATTAAGCATATGATAATCATAACTAGACGTATGCAATCATGATTAAGCATATGATAATCATAACTAGACTTATGCAATCATGATTAAACTGATTATGGCAATCATAAGTAGACAAGTGTTAATCTACATTAATATACATCGACAATACACTGATAATTTCGCAGAGGTACTGTGGAAAAAGCAGAAGAATAAACGAATGCTTTTTTTTTGGAATGTGTTGGGTAATTGCACAAGATCAATTGAATTGAAGTTTGATATTGCCAAGAAATTGATCTCCGAAAAAGTTTAACTTCCTATTTAATGGCTTACAATAAAATGCGTAAGTGCATGATACAGTGAGTAAAGAGCTGTCATTATTGAATGTCCTTTACTCTTTACATAGCAAGAGTTTAACATTACGTTAACTGCTCGTAACATTAACTGTAAAATTTGAAAGATTTCAACATTGTTCATAGAAAAGGAGAATAATTGAACAAAGAGCTGAACACTTTAAAATAATTTTTTAGCAATTGAATTTAAGTTTTTAAGTTTGACCATTAGGCTGGACGATGTTAGCAGTGAAATTAGGAGCAATTTACAGTACATTAAGCAGTGTCCATATACTTTGTCTACCAGTCTCGACAATTGTGTGTTCCGTAAATGATTGTTTATATGAAATATAAAATTGGAATAGTTTTATATTTGTCTATGGAATATTCAAATAAGTTCATCATCAGTCTTATGAATTTTATACAACTTTACTTAGATATATTGTAATTCGGTTTCTTTTGCAAGTGATAATTTTTGATTCAAATAATCCATAATTTAAAATTTATTCATGAAGTTATCAGATCACCTGAAATTTAAGAAGAGATTAATTAGAGCAAACCGGATTCAGAATTTGTATCATTGGAAATCAGTTTCTGCTGTCTCAAACCTTCATTTATTTTAACATTTATTTTAATGCAACCCCTGTAGGATAGCAAAAATCATTGAAGTAATACAAACATGAATTTTAATTAAAAATGATGTCTGTTAGATTTGCGAAATGACAATTCGACTACAAATATCACTCTTTCATCATTTCGATATAAATATTCTTTGAATTTCGACAGCGTTTTTAAATGGTATTTACTCGTCATCAATGGAAAAAAGTATTGAAGGAGTAAAAAAGTAAAAAATAGGGAACGACCGGTTGACTTCCAGTTTTCGATTCGCTCGGCCCTTTCCCCTATTCGTTCATCAAAACTTCAAATGCGTATTGCCATTTGCGCTTCTTTGCTTACCGCCAACAGTTTCAAACATTTTCTCTTTGACCAGGCTCAATTCAATATAACTTACTTCTTGACCATTTTGTGTTGAGAAGTGAAAACCTCTAAAGAATAAAAAGCAAAAGTAATTTCACATTCAGTCAAAGATATCTTTTTCATCTTTTAAAGCCCTTCTAATTTTATTCGACCCCATTAATTTTTGTCTCTCAAGATGTTTTTACTGGTAATCTTATTTACTGTACTACCATTGCTGTATGTTATTTACGGATTATTGGGCCGTAAATTGACAATTGGTGAAATTGACAAGAAAGCTGTGCTAATTACAGGATGTGGAAGCGGTAAGATTTCCGGCAGAAAATAACCTGAAGAACTGCTTAATATGCCTGAAAATTTGTTATTACAAAAATAATTTTCAGGATTTGGTAGAGATTTGGTGAAACGATGTCTCCAGAATGGACTGACAGTTTTTGCAGGATGCCAGTTTGAAAGTGTAGGCTACCTAATATAAAACAATTTCTTGAATACAAATTAGCATTTCATCAGCTAATTTGAAATGCAAAATATCACTGAGAGCAGAAAAACAGGAAAGTGCGAAGTGGCAGAGAGTCAATAAAAGAAAATTTAGAAATACTTTTGTTACTTCCGTGAAATGCTTCATCGGTTTTACCTTGTTGTTTGCAGAATATAAGTGAATTAGAAAAAAGCTACAGTTCAATCAGTAAAGGTCGACTTTATGCATTCCAAATGGATGTAACCGATGACGAGAGTGTCCGAAAATCTCGAGAAATCGTAGACAATGTTTTGAGAGAAAAGAATATCGGTTCGTATCTCTGACAAGAATGATTGTTTTTGCAGCGAACATTCCTTTCTAGAACGAACAAATTATCCGGTAGTTAATTACCAATTAAATATCTTGTTTTATACTCAAGAAACAAATCAAAATTTGATAAAATGAAATTGAAAAAATAGCATAATTTAGTGTTAATATTATTATATAATAATTCGTTCAAATGAAAGGATTGTATTGCAAATGGAAGAAAATAAAAAGAAATGAAAATTTGAAAAGTTCAACTAAAATACTGAAAATGAGAATACGAATATATTAGTTTGAAAATACTCATTTTTCAGTTCTTCATTCTGTGGTAAATAATGCTGGCATACGAGGAAATCAATTTTACGACGACTTTCTACTTTTGGACGACTATAAAGAAGTGTGGGAGGTTAATACATACGGTGCGATACGAGTGACACAAGCATTTCGAAGTCTTATCAAGAAATCAAGGTTTCATCTAATGCAAATCTTGAAATGATTATTTATCAGCGAATAGATCAATTAATAATTATAAAAGTTACTATCATTATTTCTCTTTTTTAGTTCAAAATTTTATTTATCCTAGTGGTCGAATCATCATTTGCTGTAGTGCGTCCACGTTATTTCCAGCACCTACTTACGGCCCTTACGTATCATCAAAATGTGCTCTTCAAGCTTATGCTAATATCATCAGGTATGGAACTGCGGCATTTGCGACTGATCTCGAGGAAGTCTTTTTCGAGATTTCGACGTGAAAAGCATTCTTTTGATAGTTTTAGGTTGTCTGAAGAATTGTTTGAAGGTACGAATTGGAACCATATGGAGTAATTGTAGTAGTCTTATTTCCGGGAACCTTCCAAACTGGATTGCATGTCATTCAGGAACTGCATCGTATGATTGATTTCCTATGGAATCGATCGTCGCAAGAAATTCGCAACGAATATGGCAATGATTTTAATGTGAAAGGTTACATTATGCCATTATTGTCATTTGCGAACACATTGAATTTCAGTTATTTGCGATTCTCAGTTGTTATCGCTGAGATAAATGATTTTTAGCGAAAGCATTCGCAAATGAAATGCTATCAAAGTTTTTGTCGAAAGATACAGCAAAGGTTATCGATGCTTACTATGAAGCCATCGTTGCGAGACGACCAAAGCTTTCCTATCGAATTGGTTGGGACACGTCGCTAATGTTAGTTTCAAATTTGCAACAATAATTTAATTCGCAATGTGAAAAGTTATAAATCTCTTCTGATTATGATCCATTTATCAAGAATTCAAGATTCTACAATCTCAGCCAATAGTTATTTACTTTTAGCTTCTATCCATACTCATTCATGCCGCTAAGGGTACAGTGTCATCTGATGAAGTTCTTAATGAATTGGTTTGGAGCGCCTGTACGGAAGCAACCGGTTCGGAAACAGGAAACTTAGAGACTGATTCAGTTCACAATAATATTGGCTGGAATTTTTGATGAAACCAAAGTTTGTTCTTCTCGATAAAAGCAGTTTTCAATTCGGTCGTGCTAGCATTTCAGAGTATATTTCATAAATAACATTCAAACTGACGTAGAAATGAATGATATTGTGACTCATTTTTGAATTCTTTTCTTAAATTTAAACTTTATTTCCACTTTTCAAATTTAATTTATTGCTTGAAATGCCTTATTCATTAAATTTTTGACTTATTTCACCAAATGCCAATAATTTACCATTGTAATTAAGAGAAAACCAAGTTATTAAGCGATGATTGAAATGTTTTGTGGTATTTACAATCATTTTAAAAATGAATGTTTTAAAAGTAATTTGAGTTTTATAATAATAAAATTCCACTGCAGAAGTTTTTAATGCATCAAACTGTTATGAAGAATTTATTACATTCTCTTATTCACTTACCTTAAGAGTTCATTTTTTGTAATTTTTGTAATATTAGTAATTTTAAAATTATTTTCTACTCTGTACGTAGCGCTTTTGTCCTTTGACAGATCAAATATATAAACAGAACTTTGACATTTTCGTCGCAAACACTTTGGTTTTTTCCTTCGTTCGCAATTTCTCTCATTTATTTTCCATAAGACACAATGAAATAGGAAACATAACGAAAATTAAATTTCATTCAATAAATAGCGCAAAAAAAAAAAAAAAAAATACAAAGACATTCTTTCTTTTCTAGAAACTGAAATTTATACATGGAACAATGGCAAAATTTTAATTAGAAAAAATTCAATATTTATCAAGAAAAAAATTACATATATGTTATTATGCTGTTTTAATAATATAAAATTTCAACTTTGTTCTTCTCATAACTTAAATGTGATTAGCTGTTTTTTCAAGAATTTTAACTGTTTTTTCCTTTCAAATTTTCTTGACTTGCATCCTTCGTTACTATCGCAGGTAACGGTGCTCCACTTAAATGCAAAAGTAACTTCATGACGTGAACTTGCACACGCAGTGGCAGTAATGAATAAGGATAAAATCTGCAAGAAGCAAATAAGTCGGTCGATCAATCATTTTCAACATTAAATTTCATTCGCTACGATGAAATCAAAAGTTTAATTCATCAATACTAAAAAAAAAAAATTTGCTATTTAAATTTTTAACTCAATATTTTTTGCAAATTTTATTATTCTCTTATTGTAAGTGCAATTCCTACTTCAATAACATATCCCAGCCAACACGATACAATAGCTTTGGTCGCTTTGCAACGATTGCTTCATAATACGAATCGATAACCCATGTCGTATCCAATGCTACTATCTTTTTCTTAAGATCTACTGCATGTGCTTTTACTGAAAAATTGCTACTAAATATGAACTAAATTCTTGCAGTCGCAAATCGCAAAAACTAAATCGCAAATCATTTTGACTTAAGCATTTTTGTCGTACATTTATTATTGTTTCTCAAATACATATACAATAGAGTACCTTTCTCGTTGTAATTATGTCCGTACTCGTCACGCAATTCATGAGATGCTCGGTACCATACTGTATCAGTTGATTTCCAGAATTCCTGAATGTCATGTATTCCGGTTTCAAAGCAACCTGGCATAATCTCTATTACATCCACATCGTATGGCTGCAGCTCATGCCTTTAATTCATTTTCTAAAAACTTACAAATTTCATCTGAATATTTCAACATTTAATTAAATATAAAACAATGCGAAACAAAAAAAAAAAAAAAGAAAGTTTAATTTATTACCTAATAATGATGCAATAAGCTTGAGCAGCAAACTTTGAGCAGGAATAAGGACCATGACTTGCTTTCGGAAATAATGTGGTAGCACTAGTACATATCACTATTCGACCTCTAAGATTGATAATTTCGGAAAGAAAGCGAAAAAGAAACTTAGAAATTTAATTAAGAAACAAAATTAAAACAATGAAAAATCGATGATTGCTACCATGTTTAAAGATCGAGAAAATCGAGAAAAATTAGTACTTTAATCTTTGAAATTTTTTATAACTTTGTCATCGTTCTTTGATCATTTATCAAAAAATGTATATTATTTGAACCTAGATTTTTTGATAAGATCACGAAACGTTTGCGTTACTCGAATTACGCCACACGTATTCACTTCCCACACGTCTTTATAATCGTTCACGGTCAAGAAGTCATCGTAAAAAAAGTGACCTTTAATACCAGCATTATTCACCAAAGCATGAAGAACTGAAAAGTATTACTTCAAATAAAATCTTTCTTCAATGTTTGATTTATCAGTGCTATATTTATATGTTTATGATTACAATTCTCCTTTTCACTCTTATTAAATTATTCAAAGTATTGATATGATTAAAATGTTGATAAAGCATTGAAATATAACTTATATTCCGCTTAATCGACTAGTGAATATTTTATTTAAAGTTGTCTAGTAAGTCAAATTATTCAACAATTAATTGAATTAAATAGGAGTGCTTGTTTAAAGAAATGACACATATTTAAGACAAGAACCGATATTCTTTTCTCTCAAAACATTGTCTACGATTTCTCGAGATTTTCGGACACTCTCGTCATCGGTTACATCCATTTGGAATGCATACAGTCGACCATGACTGATTGAACTGTAGCTTTTTTCTAATTCACTTATATTCTGCAAACAAGGTAAAACCGATGAAGCATTTCACGGAAGTAACAAAAGTATTTCTAAATTTTCTTTTATTGACTCTCTGCCACTTCGCACTTTCCTATTCTTCTGCTCTCAGTGATATTTTGCATTTCAAATTAGCTGATGAAATGCTAATTTGTATTCAAGAAATTGTTTTATATTAGGTAGCCTACACTTTCAAACTGGCATCCTGCAAAAACTGTCAGTCCATTCTGGAGACATCGTTTCACCAAATCTCTACCAAATCCTGAAAATTATTTTTGTAATAACAAATTTTCAGGCATATTAAGCAGTTCTTCAGGTTATTTTCTGCCGGAAATCTTACCGCTTCCACATCCTGTAATTAGCACAGCTTTCTTGTCAATTTCACCAATTGTCAATTTACGGCCCAATAATCCGTAAATAACATACAGCAATGGTAGTACAGTAAATAAGATTACCAGTAAAAACATCTTGAGAGACAAAAATTATTGGGGTCGAATAAAATTAGAAGGGCTTTAAAAGATGAAAAAGATATCTTTGACTGAATGTGAAATTACTTTTGCTTTTTATTCTTTAGAGGTTTTCACTTCTCAACACAAAATGGTCAAGAGTAAGTTATATTGAATTGAGCCTGGTCAAAGAGAAAATGTTTGAAACTGTTGGCAGTAAGCAAAGAAGCGCAAATGGCAATACGCATTTGAAGTTTTGATGAACGAATAGGGGAAAGGGCCGAGCGAATCGAAAACTGGAAGTCAACCGGTCGTTCCCTATTTTTTACTTTTTTGTTCCTTCAATACTTTTTTTTCCATTGATGATGAGTAAATACCATTTAAAAAACTCTGTCAAAATTCAAAGAATGTTTATATCAAAGTGATGAAAGAGTCGAATTATTATTTCACAAATCTTACTGACATCATTTTTAATCAAAGTTCATGTTTACATTACTTTAATGATTTCTGTTGTCTTACAGGAAAGGCTTGAGACAGCAGATTCCAACGATACAAATCTGAATGTAGTTTAACCTCTTTTTAAATTCCGTATCTTCGAGAATTCAAAACCATTTCAAACTTAAAAATCGTTGTTATAAAAAGTTGCAATAAAAGTACGTACAAATATCGCCCATGTCGCACTCTCAATTGTTGGAGATTTCGTTCTCAAATGAAATAATAATTTTAATAACGAAAAATCACAGCTAGTGTTGTATTACTTTAGTTTTAGTAAAAAAGACATTAAATTAACCTTGAAAACAACAAAAACGAAAAGATTTTAATTTTCAGTGTACTTAGCGTTGCTCCACCCAAATTCTTTCTATTAAAATATTAAATGCACTCACCAAAGTGCAACTCTAATGTATGAGTAAAAACCATTGCTCAATCAATTCAAGCTCTATTCTCATCGTCTCAGCAATAACTCATCGAATGATCCAGTAATTGAGTAATCGAGTGATCGGATAGCTGGATTACCAGGTGATCACTGGCCAAATGATCAAATGCCCGAATGATCGAACAGTCGAATGGTTGGATGGCCAAGTGATCGAACGACCGGATGATCGAGTAACCGAGTAATCAACCAACCGAGTAATCGAATGATCGAGCGGTCGAATGATAAAGTGATCAAATGATCGAGTGATCTGATAATGAAGCAATCGAACGATCGGTGATTGAGTAATCGATAACTGAGTGTTGAAGTGGTCGAATGTCGAGTGACTGAGTTATTTAGTGACTGAATCAAGCGATCGAGTATTATGAATAACGGATTGTTAATGGAATGGCCGAATGAAGAAGTGATCGAGTAATGAAATGATTAAGTAACCGAGTGATTGAGTCATCAATGAAATCTTTTTATAAGGATCGAATTAAAAAAACTTTGAACTGATTTTATCTCTTTGCTCGTTGATTCTTCCGTATAATTACTGAATCAGCAGCTATAATTATCGAATCCACTTTTTTCGTTCAGTTTTTCTTCGTCGAAATCCTTGCGATGGCCAACACATAACGTTGGGTCGTATTGTCCTTTGCATTGAATCTTTGGTTCGCACACGTCGATTTTTCTGGAAGAATCAATTGCGCACTGTTATTTGTATAACTTTGTACCAACGAATATTTTCAAATTTGTGCCTTACTATTTGACCATTTTGCAGTGAAAACATATTTAAGGGAAGCAAAAACAATTTTATCTGAGACAATTTCTCGTCACACTAATGAAAGATGTTTTTGCTGGTAATATTATTTATTGTACTGTCACTGCTGTATTTCATTTATGGATTATTGGGCCGTAAATTGACAATTGATGAAATTGACAAAAAGGCGGTACTGATCACTGGATGCGGAAACGGTAAGGATTTTTGTAGTGGAGGAAATGATTCAGATCGCTGGTTGGAAATTTTCGTTTATAAATGATTTAGAAAAGATTTGGAAGAGATTTCGAAGAGAAATGAATTTGCAGGATTTGGCAGAGATTTAGTGAAACGATGTCTTCAGAATGGGTTAACAGTTTTTGCAGGATGTCGCCGCGCCATTGTACACTTCTAAATTATCTAAAATTAATTTCATTTAATTTTTTTTTTTTTTGATTGTAGAAAACAATTTGTGAAATTGATTTGTCCATATGTTCCGATGAAGTTTACAGAGTGTAAAAGAATTGGAAGATAGCTACAGCTCAATCAGTCAAGGTCGACTGTATGCATTCCAAATGGATGTAACCGATGACGAGAGTGTCCGAAAATCTCGAGAAATCGTAGACACTGTTTTGAGAGAAAAAAATCTCGGTCCGCATCTTTGAAATGTGTAACTGTTTGTCTGAATGATTCTATAGTTATTCAAGAAATACACTAATCAAAATTCAATGATTCTTTGGTATTGTACGGCGGATTAATTCCAATGAAATGATTGCTCAGCACTGAAATTGAAAATATTCTTTTTCAGTCTTTCACGCTCTAATCAACAACGCTGGAGTGCGGGGCAATATCTTCTACGATGACTTTTTGACCGTGGACGACTATAAAGACGTGTGGGAAGTGAATACGTGCGGCGTAATTCGAGTAACGCAAACGTTTCGTGATCTTATCAAAAAGTCCAGGTTCGAATAATATATACAATATTTGCTTGCTTGACGAACCGTCGAACAACAATTGTGGAATTAATAACAATTTTCAGTATTGCAATATTAATTGTGGTTTCAGCTCATACTTAAAGATAATTCTTGAACTTTCAGAATTTCATGAATGATTTCGAGATTGTGAGGAATCCAATCAGTTTGCACATTTAATGAGCTTTTTTAAATAGGCTTTTTAATTGTTTTATCTTAAAAGATAAGGCATAATTATGGTATGAATCTTTCCGTTCTTCTGAAAAGCAATTCTCAGAGGTCGAATAGTGACATGCAGTAGTGCTTGCACATTATTTACATCGCCGAGCCATGGTCCCTATGCATCTTCAAAATTTGCTGTTCATGCTTATACTACTGTATTGAGGTATCAGTTTAAAATAAAGATCAGATCAGCTAGTTCAAGTGACGATCATTTTCACTAATTTTTATTCGATCAATTTTCATCTTAACTTCCTTTAAAATTTCAGATAAATTATTTGACAAATATCATGAAAGAAAATTTAAGACATGAATTGCAACCATATGGAATAAATGTAATAGAAATAGTTCCGGGATCATTTGAAACCGGAATGCCAAATCTCGATGATATGCAAAAAATGTTAGATATGATATGGTCTCGAGCATCACAAAAATTACGCGATGAATATGGAAACAATTATAATGAGAAAGGTAATTTTTTTTGTAAACAATGATATATTATAGAAAAATCATCAATTATATAGATTATAAAATGCTAAAGATAAATTAAATAATAACAATTACAGTTCATTTCAGCAAAAAAATTTCTAAAAGATTTGGGACCAAAAATGTGGGCAAAAGATTTCACATGTGTTACCAATTCATATTATGAAGCAATCATTGCAAAACGACCAAAACTATTATATCAAATTGGCTGGGATGTGTTACTTACGTAAAATTATTTTATTTTTCAACAACAAAAAATAGTGATAATATATTAAATTTTTTATTTGACACTAATGAATTAGAATGCTTCCATTCTGAAGAATGAAATTCGATCTCGAGAATGAACGTGTTTTTTCTTGAATTATTTTCATCTTGCAGATTCTATCCATATTCATTGTTTCCGTTACGCTTACAACTTCATATTATGAAACTTCTAATGCATTTGCATCGAGCACCACTACCGGCAATAACGACAATGAATCCAGAAAATCACAAAATGAAACATAGTTAAAATTTCAGGCAGATGTTAAAAATCAAGTATTTCCTGTATATTTGCTCTCGAATAACTTCAAATTCTTGACTGAATAATTTTGCTAATCTAAACCATCATTAGAATATCTAATTTTGGAATATTTTTTATCAGTTTAATTTAACAGTGTATAAATTTCAGTTCCTAGAAAAGAATGATTGTCTTTGCTTTTTGTTTGCGCTGTTTATTGAATAAAATTTAATCTTCTTTATGTTTCATATTTCATGGAAAATGATAGAAAAAAAGTTTTATGGAAAATAAATGAGAGAAATTGTGAACGAAGGAAAAAACCAAAGTGTTTGCGACGAAAGTGTCAAAGTTTTGTTTATATATTTGATCTGTCAAAGGACAAAAGCGCTACGTACAGAGTAGAAAATAATTTTAAAATTACTAATATTACAAAAAATGAACTCTTAGGGTAAGTGAATGAGGGAACGTAATAAATTCTTCGTAACAGTTCGATGTCATTGAAAACTTCTGCAGTGGAATTTTGTTATTATAAAACTCAAATTACTTTTAAAACATTCATTTTTAAAATGATTGTAAATACCACAAAACATTTCAATCATCGCTTAATAACTTGGTTTTCTCTTAATTACAATGGTAAATTATTGGCATTTGGTAAAATAAGTCAAAAATTTAATGAATAAGGCATTTCAAGCAATAAATTAAATTTGAAAAGTGGAAATAAAGTTTAAATTTAAGAAAAGAATTCAAAAATGAGTCACAATATCATTCATTTCTACGTCAGTTTGAATGTTATTTATGAAATATACTCTGAAATGCTAGCACGACCGAATTGAAAACTGCTTTTATCGAGAAGAACAAACTTTGGTTTCATCAAAAATTCCAGCCAATATTATTGTGAACTGAATCAGTCTCTAAGTTTCCTGTTTCCGAACCGGTTGCTTCCGTACAGGCGCTCCAAACCAATTCATTAAGAACTTCATCAGATGACACTGTACCCTTAGCGGCATGAATGAGTATGGATAGAAGCTAAAAGTAAATAACTATTGGCTGAGATTGTAGAATCTTGAATTCTTGATAAATGGATCATAATCAGAAGAGATTTATAACTTTTCACATTGCGAATTAAATTATTGTTGCAAATTTGAAACTAACATTAGCGACGTGTCCCAACCAATTCGATAGGAAAGCTTTGGTCGTCTCGCAACGATGGCTTCATAGTAAGCATCGATAACCTTTGCTGTATCTTTCGACAAAAACTTTGATAGCATTTCATTTGCGAATGCTTTCGCTAAAAATCATTTATCTCAGCGATAACAACTGAGAATCGCAAATAACTGAAATTCAATGTGTTCGCAAATGACAATAATGACATAATGTAACCTTTCACATTAAAATCATTTCCATATTCGTTGCGAATTTCTTGTGACGATCGATTCCATAGGAAATCAGTCATACGATGCAGTTCCTGAATGACATGCAATCCAGTTTGGAAGGTTCCCGGAAATAAGACTACTACAATTACTCCATATGGTTCCAATTCGTACCTTCAAACAATTCTTCAGACAACCTAAAACTATCAAAAGAATGCTTTTCACGTCGAAATCTCGAAAAAGACTTCCTCGAGATCAGTCGCAAATGCCGCAGTTCCATACCTGATGATATTAGCATAAGCTTGAAGAGCACATTTTGATGATACGTAAGGGCCGTAAGTAGGTGCTGGAAATAACGTGGACGCACTACAGCAAATGATGATTCGACCACTAGGATAAATAAAATTTTGAACTAAAAAAGAGAAATAATGATAGTAACTTTTATAATTATTAATTGATCTATTCGCTGATAAATAATCATTTCAAGATTTGCATTAGATGAAACCTTGATTTCTTGATAAGACTTCGAAATGCTTGTGTCACTCGTATCGCACCGTATGTATTAACCTCCCACACTTCTTTATAGTCATCCAAAAGTAGAAAGTCGTCGTAAAATTGATTTCCTCGTATGCCAGCATTATTTACCACAGAATGAAGAACTGAAAAATGAGTATTTTCAAACTAATATATTCGTATTCTCATTTTCAGTATTTTAGTTGAACTTTTCAAATTTTCATTTCTTTTTATTTTCTTCCATTTGCAATACAATCCTTTCATTTGAACGAATTATTATATAATAATATTAACACTAAATTATGCTATTTTTTCAATTTCATTTTATCAAATTTTGATTTGTTTCTTGAGTATAAAACAAGATATTTAATTGGTAATTAACTACCGGATAATTTTTTCGTTCTAGAAAGGAATGTTCGCTGCAAAAACAATCATTCTTGTCAGAGATACGAACCGATATTCTTTTCTCTCAAAACATTGTCTACGATTTCTCGAGATTTTCGGACACTCTCGTCATCGGTTACATCCATTTGGAATGCATAAAGTCGACCTTTACTGATTGAACTGTAGCTTTTTTCTAATTCACTTATATTCTGCAAACAAGGTAAAACCGATGAAGCATTTCACGGAAGTAACAAAAGTATTTCTAAATTTTCTTTTATTGACTCTCTGCCACTTCGCACTTTCCTATTCTTCTGCTCTCAGTGATATTTTGCATTTCAAATTAGCTGATGAAATGCTAATTTGTATTCAAGAAATTGTTTTATATTAGGTAGCCTACACTTTCAAACTGGCATCCTGCAAAAACTGTCAGTCCATTCTGGAGACATCGTTTCACCAAATCTCTACCAAATCCTGAAAATTATTTTTGTAATAACAAATTTTCAGGCATATTAAGCAGTTCTTCAGGTTATTTTCTGCCGGAAATCTTACCGCTTCCACATCCTGTAATTAGCACAGCTTTCTTGTCAATTTCACCAATTGTCAATTTACGGCCCAATAATCCGTAAATAACATACAGCAATGGTAGTACAGTAAATAAGATTACCAGTAAAAACATCTTGAGAGACAAAAATTATTGGGGTCGAATAAAATTAGAAGGGCTTTAAAAGATGAAAAAGATATCTTTGACTGAATGTGAAATTACTTTTGCTTTTTATTCTTTAGAGGTTTTCACTTCTCAACACAAAATGGTCAAGAGTAAGTTATATTGAATTGAGCCTGGTCAAAGAGAAAATGTTTGAAACTGTTGGCAGTAAGCAAAGAAGCGCAAATGGCAATACGCATTTGAAGTTTTGATGAACGAATAGGGGAAAGGGCCGAGCGAATCGAAAACTGGAAGTCAACCGGTCGTTCCCTATTTTTTACTTTTTTGTTCCTTCAATACTTTTTTTTCCATTGATGATGAGTAAATACCATTTAAAAAACTCTGTCAAAATTCAAAGAATGTTTATATCAAAGTGATGAAAGAGTCGAATTATTATTTCACAAATCTTACTGACATCATTTTTAATCAAAGTTCATGTTTACATTACTTTAATGATTTCTGTTGTCTTACAGGAAAGGCTTGAGACAGCAGATTCCAACGATACAAATCTGAATGTAGTTTAACCTCTTTTTAAATTCCGTATCTTCGAGAATTCAAAACCATTTCAAACTTAAAAATCGTTGTTATAAAAAGTTGCAATAAAAGTACGTACAAATATCGCCCATGTCGCACTCTCAATTGTTGGAGATTTCGTTCTCAAATGAAATAATAATTTTAATAACGAAAAATCACAGCTAGTGTTGTATTACTTTAGTTTTAGTAAAAAAGACATTAAATTAACCTTGAAAACAACAAAAACGAAAAGATTTTAATTTTCAGTGTACTTAGCGTTGCTCCACCCAAATTCTTTCTATTAAAATATTAAATGCACTCACCAAAGTGCAACTCTAATGTATGAGTAAAAACCATTGCTCAATCAATTCAAGCTCTATTCTCATCGTCTCAGCAATAACTCATCGAATGATCCAGTAATTGAGTAATCGAGTGATCGGATAGCTGGATTACCAGGTGATCACTGGCCAAATGATCAAATGCCCGAATGATCGAACAGTCGAATGGTTGGATGGCCAAGTGATCGAACGACCGGATGATCGAGTAACCGAGTAATCAACCAACCGAGTAATCGAATGATCGAGCGGTCGAATGATAAAGTGATCAAATGATCGAGTGATCTGATAATGAAGCAATCGAACGATCGGTGATTGAGTAATCGATAACTGAGTGTTGAAGTGGTCGAATGTCGAGTGACTGAGTTATTTAGTGACTGAATCAAGCGATCGAGTATTATGAATAACGGATTGTTAATGGAATGGCCGAATGAAGAAGTGATCGAGTAATGAAATGATTAAGTAACCGAGTGATTGAGTCATCAATGAAATCTTTTTATAAGGATCGAATTAAAAAAACCTTGAACTGATTTTATCTCTTTGCTCGTTGATTCTTCCGTATAATTACTGAATCAGCAGCTATAATTATCGAATCCACTTTTTTCGTTCAGTTTTTCTTCGTCGAAATCCTTGCGATGGCCAACACATAACGTTGGGTCGTATTGTCCTTTGCATTGAATCTTTGGTTCGCACACGTCGATTTTTCTGGAAGAATCAATTGCGCACTGTTATTTGTATAACTTTGTACCAACGAATATTTTCAAATTTGTGCCTTACTATTTGACCATTTTGCAGTGAAAACATATTTAAGGGAAGCAAAAACAATTTTATCTGAGACAATTTCTCGTCACACTAATGAAAAATGTTTTTGCTGGTAATATTATTTATTGTACTGTCACTGCTGTATTTCATTTATGGATTATTGGGCCGTAAATTGACAATTGATGAAATTGACAAAAAGGCGGTACTGATCACTGGATGCGGAAACGGTAAGGATTTTTGTAGTGGAGGAAATGATTCAGATCGCTGGTTGGAAATTTTCGTTTATAAATGATTTAGAAAAGATTTGGAAGAGATTTCGAAGAGAAATGAATTTGCAGGATTTGGCAGAGATTTAGTGAAACGATGTCTTCAGAATGGGTTAACAGTTTTTGCAGGATGTCGCCGCGCCATTGTACACTTCTAAATTATCTAAAATTAATTTCATTTAATTTTTTTTTTTTTTGATTGTAGAAAACAATTTGTGAAATTGATTTGTCCATATGTTCCGATGAAGTTTACAGAGTGTAAAAGAATTGGAAGATAGCTACAGCTCAATCAGTCAAGGTCGACTGTATGCATTCCAAATGGATGTAACCGATGACGAGAGTGTCCGAAAATCTCGAGAAATCGTAGACACTGTTTTGAGAGAAAAAAATCTCGGTCCGCATCTTTGAAATGTGTAACTGTTTGTCTGAATGATTCTATAGTTATTCAAGAAATACACTAATCAAAATTCAATGATTCTTTGGTATTGTACGGCGGATTAATTCCAATGAAATGATTGCTCAGCACTGAAATTGAAAATATTCTTTTTCAGTCTTTCACGCTCTAATCAACAACGCTGGAGTGCGGGGCAATATCTTCTACGATGACTTTTTGACCGTGGACGACTATAAAGACGTGTGGGAAGTGAATACGTGCGGCGTAATTCGAGTAACGCAAACGTTTCGTGATCTTATCAAAAAGTCCAGGTTCGAATAATATATACAATATTTGCTTGCTTGACGAACCGTCGAACAACAATTGTGGAATTAATAACAATTTTCAGTATTGCAATATTAATTGTGGTTTCAGCTCATACTTAAAGATAATTCTTGAACTTTCAGAATTTCATGAATGATTTCGAGATTGTGAGGAATCCAATCAGTTTGCACATTTAATGAGCTTTTTTAAATAGGCTTTTTAATTGTTTTATCTTAAAAGATAAGGCATAATTATGGTATGAATCTTTCCGTTCTTCTGAAAAGCAATTCTCAGAGGTCGAATAGTGACATGCAGTAGTGCTTGCACATTATTTACATCGCCGAGCCATGGTCCCTATGCATCTTCAAAATTTGCTGTTCATGCTTATACTACTGTATTGAGGTATCAGTTTAAAATAAAGATCAGATCAGCTAGTTCAAGTGACGATCATTTTCACTAATTTTTATTCGATCAATTTTCATCTTAACTTCCTTTAAAATTTCAGATAAATTATTTGACAAATATCATGAAAGAAAATTTAAGACATGAATTGCAACCATATGGAATAAATGTAATAGAAATAGTTCCGGGATCATTTGAAACCGGAATGCCAAATCTCGATGATATGCAAAAAATGTTAGATATGATATGGTCTCGAGCATCACAAAAATTACGCGATGAATATGGAAACAATTATAATGAGAAAGGTAATTTTTTTTGTAAACAATGATATATTATAGAAAAATCATCAATTATATAGATTATAAAATGCTAAAGATAAATTAAATAATAACAATTACAGTTCATTTCAGCAAAAAAATTTCTAAAAGATTTGGGACCAAAAATGTGGGCAAAAGATTTCACATGTGTTACCAATTCATATTATGAAGCAATCATTGCAAAACGACCAAAACTATTATATCAAATTGGCTGGGATGTGTTACTTACGTAAAATTATTTTATTTTTCAACAACAAAAAATAGTGATAATATATTAAATTTTTTATTTGACACTAATGAATTAGAATGCTTCCATTCTGAAGAATGAAATTCGATCTCGAGAATGAACGTGTTTTTTCTTGAATTATTTTCATCTTGCAGATTCTATCCATATTCATTGTTTCCGTTACGCTTACAACTTCATATTATGAAACTTCTAATGCATTTGCATCGAGCACCACTACCGGCAATAACGACAATGAATCCAGAAAATCACAAAATGAAACATAGTTAAAATTTCAGGCAGATGTTAAAAATCAAGTATTTCCTGTATATTTGCTCTCGAATAACTTCAAATTCTTGACTGAATAATTTTGCTAATCTAAACCATCATTAGAATATCTAATTTTGGAATATTTTTTATCAGTTTAATTTAACAGTGTATAAATTTCAGTTCCTAGAAAAGAATGATTGTCTTTGCTTTTTGTTTGCGCTGTTTATTGAATAAAATTTAATCTTCTTTATGTTTCATATTTCATGGAAAATGATAGAAAAAAAGTTTTATGGAAAATAAATGAGAGAAATTGTGAACGAAGGAAAAAACCAAAGTGTTTGCGACGAAAGTGTCAAAGTTTTGTTTATATATTTGATCTGTCAAAGGACAAAAGCGCTACGTACAGAGTAGAAAATAATTTTAAAATTACTAATATTACAAAAAATGAACTCTTAGGGTAAGTGAATGAGGGAACGTAATAAATTCTTCGTAACAGTTCGATGTCATTGAAAACTTCTGCAGTGGAATTTTGTTATTATAAAACTCAAATTACTTTTAAAACATTCATTTTTAAAATGATTGTAAATACCACAAAACATTTCAATCATCGCTTAATAACTTGGTTTTCTCTTAATTACAATGGTAAATTATTGGCATTCGGTGAAATAAGTCAAAAATCTAATGAATAAGGCATTTCAAGCAATAAATTAAATTTGAAAAGTGGAAATAAAGTTTAAATTTAAGAAAAGAATTCAAAAATGAGTCACAATATCATTCATTTCTACGTCAGTTTGAATGTTATTTATGAAATATACTCTGAAATGCTAGCACGACCGAATTGAAAAATGCTTTTATCGAGAAGAACAAACTTTGGTTTCATCAAAAATTCCAGCCAATATTATTGTGAACTGAATCAGTCTCTAAGTTTCCTGTTTCCGAACCGGTTGCTTCCGTACAGGCGCTCCAAACCAATTCATTAAGAACTTCATCAGATGACACTGTACCCTTAGCGGCATGAATGAGTATGGATAGAAGCTAAAAGTAAATAACTATTGGCTGAGATTGTAGAATCTTGAATTCTTGATAAATGGATCATAATCAGAAGAGATTTATAACTTTTCACATTTCCTCAATTGCGAATTAAATTATTGTTGCAAATTTGAAACTAACATTAGCGACGTGTCCCAACCAATTCGATAGGAAAGCTTTGGTCGTCTCGCAACGATGGCTTCATAGTAAGCATCGATAACCTTTGCTGTATCTTTCGACAAAAACTTTGATAGCATTTCATTTGCGAATGCTTTCGCTAAAAATCATTTATCTCAGCGATAACAACTGAGAATCGCAAATAACTGAAATTCAATGTGTTCGCAAATGACAATAATGACATAATGTAACCTTTCACATTAAAATCATTTCCATATTCGTTGCGAATTTCTTGCGACGATCGATTCCATAGGAAATCAATCATACGATGCAGTTCCTGAATGACATGCAATCCAGTTTGGAAGGTTCCCGGAAATAAGACTACTACAATTACTCCATATGGTTCCAATTCGTACCTTCAAACAATTCTTCAGACAACCTAAAACTATCAAAAGAATGCTTTTCACGTCGAAATCTCGAAAAAGACTTCCTCGAGATCAGTCGCAAATGCCGCAGTTCCATACCTGATGATATTAGCATAAGCTTGAAGAGCACATTTTGATGATACGTAAGGGCCGTAAGTAGGTGCTGGAAATAACGTGGACGCACTACAGCAAATGATGATTCGACCACTAGGATAAATAAAATTTTGAACTAAAAAAGAGAAATAATGATAGTAACTTTTATAATTATTAATTGATCTATTCGCTGATAAATAATCATTTCAAGATTTGCATTAGATGAAACCTTGATTTCTTGATAAGACTTCGAAATGCTTGTGTCACTCGTATCGCACCGTATGTATTAACCTCCCACACTTCTTTATAGTCGTCCAAAAGTAGAAAGTCGTCGTAAAATTGATTTCCTCGTATGCCAGCATTATTTACCACAGAATGAAAAACTGAAAAATGAATATTTTCAAACTAATATATTCGTATTCTCATTTTCAGTATTTTAGTTGAACTTTTCAAATTTTCATTTCTTTTTATTTTCTTCCATTTGCAATACAATCCTTTCATTTGAACGAATTATTATATAATAATATTAACACTAAATTCTGCTATTTTTTAATTTCATTTCAATTTCATTTCAAAGCATAAAAATATAAAATTGAAATACTGAAAATATGCTCATTGTGTTCCACTCAAAAAAAAAAAAAAAAAAAACACTTTCAATTTTATTTTTTTTTTTTAATCAAAAATAAATAATAATTATCAATTTGAATTTCATATATTTTTCATTTAAAAATGTTTGTTTCTTCTTTTCATTCATTGCATATATCAAAAAAAAAAAAAAAATAAATAAATAAATAAACTCATACAAATATAACTATTTAATATTCTTTGAATTTCAATTATTTAATTTATTTTGATTTTATTCAAATAAGATTCTTCAAAATATAATCCAGCCAAACATCAAAAGTTTATTTCATTTTGCTTTAAATTCTAAACTAAATAAACAAAATATTTTGAAGTGAAATTAACTAAATAGCCTAACTGAAAAGAATAATGAAATTTTTTTTTTCTTTTTTAAAAACAAAAAAACAAATCTTTTTCAAAAACATCCTTTTCTGTCAAAAAAAAAAAAAAAAAAAAAAAGACAATGAAGCAATTCTAGCAAGAATTTATTTATGCAGTAAATATTTTTGTGTTAAAATTAACATCCATATTTTAAAGATTTGAATTTCAGATTCGTTTCTCGTAAACAAATTTTTGATAAATATTCTAAAAACGCTAAATGCTTTCACATCCGTTAAGATTATATATAATTGACCTTCAGCAAATGAACCATAAAAATTCCTTTAATCTCTTTGTTAGTTTAAAACCATAATTAATACTTATTTATTCTGTGAATTTATTTCTATTTGATCACAAATAAGTGACTTCTAAAAGTTTAGTACCCTTTCATTTCGTTTATTTCTGTTTATTGTTCATTTTTGATAAAACATTGCACACCAAATTAAATTTGAAATTATTTACATTAAAAATTTATTGAAAGTTTAGAATTATTTACATCGAAAATTTATTAAAAATTTACAATTATTTACATTAAAAATTGAATACAATCAATAATTCACAATAAATACTTAATTTAATTTCTCAAACTAGTATTCTACAAAAATTATAATTCTATTCTAAAAACATTAGCCTATCAAATTTTCAAAAAAAAAAAGAAAAACAGAAAAAATTCTAAAAATTATTTCGCTTTTTAAAAAAAAAATTTGTTTACACATTTTAACTTAAAATTTCCATAAGTGTTTTTTCTCTTAAACTATCAAGCAGGTACATATCATTTTCATGGTCAATGCTCTAAATTATTTCCTTTATCACAAAAAATTTTCTCTCTCATATTTCACTACTTTAGTAACACTTTCCTGTCAATTTCACTAATTGTTAATTTCCGGTCCATTAATTCGTAAATAACATAAATTGCAGTTGCAATGAAAGGATAATAAATAATTTTGCCAGTGTAAACATCATTTCTCGGTACTGTAAATAAGTAATACTTTTAAAATAATTGAAGAAAAAAAAATTTTAATACTAGGAAGTATTTGTTGTTAAAAATTTACCATTAAGTCAGAAAATGATAATGTAAAATTAGGTAAATAACAAAATCAAACACACTCTTTCACCTTTCACCTTTTATCATTCTTATCAAATAATTGATAGTATAAATCAGCTTTATACTCTGTTAGATTATCACCAAAATATATGTTTGCAAATATCATCTTTAAAAAAGAAAAATTAAAATTTCTGTAATGACAAAATCAAAATGATAGTTATAATTTATAAAAAGTTAAAAAAGCACAAACTTTATAGCAATTTAAAATTTAAAAATTTGCTAATTATTTAGATGTGGAAGAAAGTTTAAATTATATTTATTTAAAAAAAAAAAAAAAAAATTGTAGTACCAAATGTGAGCAAAATTTTTTAACAAAAACTAAAAAATCTAATTTTCTCCCTAATCATTTCAATTTATACGTACATCTGATAACACTGATAATTTGTTCACAATGCTATGTTTATCATTCTATCTTATCTGTTATCATTTAATTACAATTTATGGCTTTTTTTTTCTCACCAAAATTAACAAATAGTAGTAGCAAATCACTACTGATAACAAAAATGATAAAAAAAATCCAACTTTGACCCACTTTTTTTTTTTTTAGCAAACAATTAAAAAGTTATTTTCCACATATCATTTTACATTACTTATCACCAAAATTTACTTATCATCAAGTTTAGCTACGTAAGTATATAAGTTCTTATCACTTAACAAATCTTTAATGAAATTAAAATGCATTTCATTTCAGATCTTTTTGCTCCAGAAAATGACTAATTATTGTTAATCGTTAAGGTTAACTAATTGTTTGCGCCTAAATGATAAAATGACAAACAATGACTGATAATGTCATATACTTTAATAGAACTAACTTTCATCATTTTTTAATCTTTAAATTATATGTTAATAAAGTGACCTTTGACATGGAATTTGACAGATAAAATGGTGTCACGAAAAAAAGTACTAACTGAGTTAACTGATAATGAATGAATTACTTGTGTAATTAATGAAAGATAGTTTAAAAATAACTAATTATACTTTTGAAGTTGTTATATTGCAATAAAAGTAATTCAAAAAATATTAAAATCATTTCCTCTAAATTCAATTCAAGAAATACTAAATTCATTTCTTCTAAATTCGGTTCAAGAAGTACCAAATTCAATTCAAGAAGTACCAAATTCAATTCAAGAAGTACTAAATTCAATTCACGAAGTACTAAATTCAATTCAAGAAGTACTAAATTCAATTCACGAAGTACTAAATTCAATTCAAGAAATACTAAATTCAATTCACGAAGTACTAAATTCAATTCAAGAAGTACTAAATTCAATTCAAGAAGTACTAAATTCAATTCACAAAGTACTAAATTCATTTTTTCTAAAATTAAATTCAAGAAATACTAAACTCATTCATTTCTTTAAGTATTGCAAAAAATTTGGAAAGAAATTTATTCAAATTATCGCTGTAATTTCCATAATAAAATTATTGCATAAAAAATGAAATTTTGATATAATTTTCATCGATAGTAATCGATAGTTATTATCATTTTTTTTTACTGATAATATTGTTTTCTTATTAAGAATTATAATCACTGATAATATTAAAGTAATAAAAATTAATTGTCAAATAAAATAAACAAATTTATCATCTGAGAAAATTGATCGATTTAATAACAAATAATACTGATAATGATCAAGTTTATTTATTTATTGAACATTCTTGAAGATTTAAAAAAAAAAAAATTGCTATAGCAGAATTAATAAAGAGAAAAGGAATTAGTACAATGTATTTAATTTCTTCAAAAACTTGAATTGAATTTAAAATTCAAGATTTCAATGCTGAATTTTTAATAATTAATAAAATTTTAAAATTATTGAAATTTAATTAATTAATGAAAATTTAATAATTAGTGAAATGAATTTAAAATATCATATAATTATAGCATTAATAAAAATAAGTAATTGAGATTTTTTTATAAGTAAATATAAGTTACAGTAAAACAATTGCAATTTAAAAAAGCTAAAAGTTATTGGAAATTATAATCAAATAATTAAATAATTCATTTTCAAATTATCATAGCATAAATAACATACTAATAACTTTTTTAAATTGCTAACATTACTAAATAACTTTTATTCGAGAAGTAAGCAAACAAACATAGAGCAAAAAGAATGTATTAAATTTGATTTAAAAAATGAAAAAAAAAAAAAAAATACGACAAGATTAAACAAAATTAAAATAGCATAATGAACAAATTTTCTTAGTAATAAGCGGATTTGTCCCTTTTGCGCTGAAACTTTTCCATTTGTTAACCTAGATTACCTATCATCATTTTACACAAACATAATGAAACAGGTAAAAATGCTACCCAATTTGCAACATTGGTTAGTATTCGATAAACATTCTCAAAATTTGGGATCAAATAATATTTTTGATATTCTCAGGTAAATCATATATTGTCGAGATTTCTCGAATTTTCTAAGTGTAACTTTAATAGCAAAGTTAAAAATGGTCAAAAAATATGAATGCTTCAGACATAACTTTTTTGTTTTTCTCGTTTGTTTGTTTTGTTTTTTTTTTTTTTTTGATTTGCGCATTAATTATATTTTTACAATTTACAATAAATTATTTTGGATGAGATTTTGATGGAAATTTTATTGATATAAAAGAAAGAATAAAATTTGAGAAATTTAATTTAATTAAAAATTTGAGCAAAAATTAAATCTAAAATTTAAATGTAATGAGGTATACTTTTTTGGGTATTTTACTCTAAAAAAATTTTAACAAACTATTAAAAATTTTAAAATCACTAAATGATATCAAACAATGATGCCATAATTCTTATAACAATCAAATATTTGCATTTATTTTTAATAAAACTTTTTTTTTTTTAATAAAACTTAATTCATTCACTTTATATCAAATAGCAATTTTGATTTTTTGATAAAATTTTATTCGTTTTATTTTTTTTTTTTTTTATCCATTTAAATAATTTATTGTTATTTTTCCTATTTTCTTATGCAACAATCTTGTGCAACTGATAAATTCATGGAAAGTTAAAAAAAGAAATAATTAATTAACTTATTAACTTATCCATGTAAATTAACTTTTACTTTTTCAAATGTTTATATAAATGAAGTAAATTACGATCAAATGATTTTACTATGAAATTTTTATTCAAATTGCTAAAAAAGATTTATTTTTAGATATTTATTTAAATGTTATCGTATTAAGGTACTCATATACTAAAATTGTAATTAATATTGTAATTACTGCTAAAGTAATTCGTTACTTACTTACATCGTAGCTAATTACAAA